GGGTTTAATAAATGCTCACTTACTTTCTCAAGGGAGATTTTTTTTTTATTCCCCTCTCCGTGAAACAAATTAGATTTTGTTTTTATGTCATCCCTGGCCATCCTTTCAGACCTCAGCCATGTGGCTGAGCAAGAAAAGGCCACATCTTAGCACCATTTTGTCCTTATCAGATTAGGAGTCTTTAAATACATCTGTCATACACAGGCAAAACATGGTTTACCTCCAATTGATTTCTTGTCACAATCCCTCCCTCAGGGCGTTCTTACTCGCGCTGCTGGAAATTCCTTTCATTTGTCAAGTCACTTTTTTCTTTATAATCGTCTTAGATGTGTTTAAGATGATAAGGGAAACTTATTGCTTTCTCCCTGTAAGTAATCAACTTTAAGAAATTGCATTTTGTTGAGAAATATGATCCAGGCTTTGACGTCTTTATTCTCATCTGAGAATGGTTCAGACTGTATTTTTTACTTCCTTTACTGATTAAACTGAAAGTGAAGATACGGATTTACAGATTTCACATTTTATTACTAGTCATGACCAGCCATGGAAATGGTTTTGGCTTGTATATTTTGATGTCTTTTTGAGGGAATGATGTATGGACTCACTCACTCACTCAAGGAAAGACAGTCCTTCCAGCATTTACCATCAGCCTCAATGAGTCAACGTACATTATCTGTGTGAAAGGGTAAACAGAGGTTTCTATAGGAACAACAAGTTTATTATATAAAACATAACAAGATATCTATTCCCCATTATCAGACATGTTAGGGCAGTGACTTTTAATTCCCCCATTTTAAGAAATACACTGAAGTCTTTCAAACAAGAGTCAGCAAGTCACGCCGCCCGGCCAAGATATATCACACAACCCTCATAAAACCACAAATTGTCATTTACAGTGTTTTTATTTGCACAGAATAAACAAATTATACATAATGTGTGAATTAGTGAGCTGTAGAGGTGCTGGTAGTTTTTCTTTTAATAATTTATTTTTTTGGACAGAGCCATTTATGCTAAGCTAAGCTATATTTATCTGGATTCCAGATTCCAGATAGCGTTCCTCTGTTTGTTAACCTCCTGTACTTGTAATCTGTTGTAAGAACATGTTTTTATAAGGGATTAATTTAGCAATCATGACCTCTTTTATCAGATGGTAATTTTCTGTTTTTCAAACTTTGAGACTATGTAGCCTCTAGTGAATAGGGGATTAAAAGATTAATTTTGGACAATTTGTATTACTGTAAATAAATGATACCACACAGCAAATTTAAATGTTGGGAAACATTCAACACATGTATCAAATTCTGAAGAGCAAACATTTTGACTATATTGCTGAGATATTTATTTGGTATTAAAAGGCAGTTGCACTAAAGATGATTTATTTCAGTCCTTTGGGGAACCAGTTGCAGTAGTAATGTTTTATTGCACAATGCTTCTACAGGGACTGTTGGCTCTCCGGCCTGTAAACTGTCACTTAGTGTGTCTTCTCTTTGTCAATGTAGAAACTCCTTTCACGAGTCACTGAAACAGATCGGCTCAACCCAACACCAGGGTAATGCAGTCGGTATGGGAACGTATGAGACCATTCAGCACTTCAACGACATCAAGGAACATCTGCACACGGTCAAAAGGGACGTGGAGCACCTGGTCCAACGTAACGCTCAGGTGCGGATTCTTACTTTGATCAGTTTTTAAATTTAGGTGAGAATTCAGCTGACTGTCTTTTGACGTATGTTTTCACACGCAGAATCCTGCCGAGAAGGCTGTGAAGTGTCCTGAGATGCCTCCCATGCCTTCCTGCTTATCCACTGTTCATTTTGCAATCTTCATCGTCGTCCAGTCAATTCTGTTCTTCTGCTACATCATGTACAAGTAAGAAATCATTGTTTTTATTCGGCCATGTATGTGCTTTGATGTGGATTTACACGACTCTCTAATGGTTTTTGTCTTTCCCTCTTTTAGGAGTCAACAAGAAGCAGCAGCAAAGAAGTTCTTTTGATTAAATTAATTTCTGAACTGAACGTCTGTAAATGAGGGAATGTCCATTTTGATTATTGTTTTTGGTTTGATTATTTTCAGATTGTAAGTTATTGTACTTGAAGAAATTGGTTTTGTTGAAGAAGTTTGTTTTAATTCATTGCAGATTTTTAATTTGATCAGTAAATCGCTGTGTATGAATGCTAGTGTGAGACTTCTGGATTTTCAACATGATGTAATGCTCCTTACAGTATTTTTGGTTGGTCAGATCCTTAGATTTTGTTTTCAGAAGTTGAGATCTGCCACAATCCCATTCCATGAAACCGAACTGACAACAGAAAAGAAAACCCTGTGTTTTGAAACGTGCAATTTTGTATAAAATAATGCTGAACTTTTGGTGATGAAAACTCAGAGCAGATGTCTGCTACCGTTTATCTGTTTTGATTGAGTCAAAAATGTCAGAATCTGACATATCCTCTACCTGAACAATTTACATAAACAGAAAACACAAATCACTCTGTGGCGTCTGTGTGTTTTATCACGTGAGATACACTCCACACAAGATGCATCTACACTGAATAATATGTAGTCTGTTCATCTCTCATGATAACACTTTATTCCAGCTAGTAGCTACAGAAGAGGAGTAGTTGAAATGTCTAAAATGTCAAAGCATACTGCAGTTAAGTGTAAAATGGAAGATATTTTGCGATTGCAGTTAAGGGCCCTCAATGATAGTAACATTTTTAAGCAGTATATAAACACCTCATAATAGTTTGTAACACACATGATTTTGTCAATTCTCCTCTTATGAAGCATACATAACAGATGTATAAACAGTTTGCATACTCTAATGTATCTGTAGAATTATACATGAAGAAATTACAGTGTGTTATAAAGCATTTATTAATTGTTTATACAAAAATGCCCCCTATGAAAAGTTATAGTTGTTGACAAATACATTAATTAACACAGTGTCAGCTTACATTATAAGGTTTTATAGTGTGTTATAAACCACCACAACCATGCTAACAGCTCTGTGAGGCTGTCCTTAAGTAGGCCTGCAGCGGTGCTTTGAGCTAAATGCTAACATGCTAATGTTTAGCAGGTGTAATGTTTACAATGTGCATCATCTTAGTTTATCGTGGTAGCACGCTAACACTAGCTAATTAGCAGTAAACAGAAAGTGCAGCTGAGGCTGATGGGAATGTCATTAGGTTTACAAGTATTTAGTCATAAACCAAAGTATTGAACACATTAAAATGTTGGCAACCAAACCCATTACAGTTCATCCTGAGGGAAATGGAGCAAAAATGTCGGCACCACATTTGATGATGATCCAGCCAATAGTGGTTGAGACCTTTCACCAATAACCACAAATGTCAAACTAATGATGGCACTAAAGGAAAAGTCAAGGGATCATCAAAGGCATCATGAGGCGTCCTCTAGGGACCAAAGTGGTGAACCAACTGACCAGCCAACAGCGCATGAAGCGTTCAGAAACACTGCTAGTGCTGCTGAGTTGTGGCAATATCAAAAATACTGGATAACGTTTCTGGCTAAAGGAAACCTGAAAGCTTATCAGCGATTATTTAGACATTGAAGCAATTCCCATCTTTCCTTCAGTGAATAACACAGATACATGACTTAGATAGATATTACGTTCTATAGCATGTATTGCAGGTTGTTCTCATCCATCTTACCATTGCACACTTTTGACCTGTTTGCCAATACTGCAGTGCAATGCCAGGCGGGTACAGTGGATGGAGTAGGTGTTTATTTAAATCATGAATATCTCTGTCAAAGTGGCTGACACGAAGCAAAAAATTATATCCTCTTAGGCCTAGTGGTCTAAGATGCATACAGTGCTGTAGCCAAGACAACCTTTGTCAAGTCCAAGACCAGGACCAGTAGAGACCAAGTTGAGGGCGGGTCCAAATGAGAGACAGAGTTAAGGCCGAGACAGAAAAAAAAGAATGCTTTTGCCCCTAGCAATGAGAGGAGTTTTGGTAGCCCAGGGATACAATTAAAGAAGTATCTTCAGAAAAGAAATTTCTGGACTTGATTAAGACCTATATTTGGAGCGACCAGTGGCCAAGTCCAAGTGCAAATACCAAGAGTCCTAGACAAGTCAGAGACAATAAAAACATTTCTCGAGTACTAAAGTTACTGGATGCATAACAAGTAACTGTAACATCCAGGTTCAAATCCATGCAGGAACCTTTCCTCCACGTCATCTCTCTCCACAGTCCCAACATTATCTGCTTGACTGAACTATCAAATAAAGGCACAAACAATCCTATAATAATTATAACGATCACATCTTGCTTTTCTATATATTTTACTTTACAATATGCTTTAAACATGCATATGACATAACCAAAGATATTACAAGAGACATTTGGTTGCAGGTGAACCTTTTTGAAATGCCTGAGTGCTCAGGAATATTAGGATAATCTACAAGTCCTTCACCAAGCTTTCAGATAGTGAAGTAGTGATAGGGTGAAATGAACTGAGATCTGTCTCCTCCCCACCTCTCATCCTCGTGTCAATCATTCTCCCACTGAACAATAGCACGGCATGAACGATGGCTCCATTGGGGGATAAACAAGACTCTAATCCCGCTCCCCTCTCTCTACTCTGCTTGGTCTCACCAGTATAAGCTGCACACGGGCCAGCCCGTACTTTACTAATATGATTAAGCACCAGTGGACGGAAGCAGCATATGTGTGGTCCCAAACTGAGGACACCCATCACCGAAATCATTTTTATCATGAGTGCTGCACCTAGTTCTTCCAAAGAATGTGTCAAAGTGTCAAAATTAATAAAGAGAAACGTCTACAAAAGTCTGCACAATTTAAAAATAGAGAGAAAACAGGCCATCTGCCTCTTAGCATAGTGGAGCAGGGAGGATTAAATCCAGATTATGGCCCTGGCAAAATGTTGTGTGTGTGTGTGTGTGTGTGTGTGTGTGTGTGTGTGTGTGTGTGTGTTTGTAAGTGTGTGTGTATGTGTCTGTTGCTTGTCGTCAGTGTGTCCTTGGCTCCATAGTCAAGCAGCAGGTTAGCTAGAGAGCTACCACTGGATTTGACGGCTATAGGAGGGAGAACCGGAGGGCACAATAAGGGGAGCAGCATCATTTTCATCTACAAAAATATTCTCATCCTCGCAGAGTAAACAGCCACACAACTCAAGATGGCTTTCTTGATCAAGAGCATGATTGGGAACCCCCTGTCAGGAATTGGTCTTGGTGGTGGAGGTGACAAAGAAGAGGAGGCCACCCCCACAGATCCAGCCAAAGCAGCAGGGATGACACGCGAGGAGTATGAAGAGTACCAAAAACAGGTGGTGGAGGAGAAGTAAGTAGAAACACGGACAGTTCTCCACTTTTAATTGATGCCACTGGCCCATTGGAAACAGTATGGCTGCAGTATGTACAATCTGACCTTGACAAGCGGTTTTCTCCTGCATTACAATCCTTCACCGTTCTCCCTCTTTTGAACTACACATAACCATATATTTTAATATAAACCTAACTAAATGTAAACATTTTAATCATGTATCGGTTATTTTCATGAGCTTACAATGAGCAAGCTGTGTTTCTGAGAGATGCATCTGTTGCTGAAGGTCACAGCAGAGGTACCACCATAGTGGATCTTTTCTTTTTTCCCCTGAATTTTCTACATAATAATAACCCACGGAGGCTATAGGTCATGCTGGACCTGGATCAATAATCTCCCATAATCTGTCATCTGTTTCTGCATCAAGTGCATTTATGGGTAATATTTTGAGGGACTTTCTGGTTCTGAACGCAGTTGAGTAAGAAGTTGTAACATGGCAGTTTTATTTACAGCTTGAAAACATGGACATTAGGGCAATAAATGTTGGAATATTTAAACTGAAACACTAAAAAACCATGGTTAAGGTGGGGCAGCAAAGGAAAGAAATCACAATCCTACAAAATTATATTTATTTTAGGTAGATCAACATTTTAGGTAGCTAAGAGTCCATATTGATAGTTTTCTGCAATATAGACACATCTTATTGTCACTCTTCATTTATCTTCAATCTTCATCTACAGTCATATCTGCAGCAGGTAGCTTGGTTTTGTCCACTAGGGTGTTTCTGTCCACCAGTGCATTATGGTCTGTTTATCTTGTATAAGGTTCCAGTTCCTCTCACTAAAGCAGACAATTAAGTAATACAATTTACACTAAGCAACAGTGTGTTGTATCCATACTTAATTCCATCTTGAAAAAAATGTGTAAATATATATTTTATATATTTTAATATTAAAACATTTCTTTCAATTTTGACAAATCTGGAATTTGTATTTTTGTGAGACAGAGTAGATTTTGCAGCACCAAGCAGATCCATTCAGCCTGTATTACATAACAAGATTAATCCAGCCTCTCCACTCTTATGTGTATTTGACGACATAAAACATCAACATTCCCAATAATTGTAGATTTCTAGTAACATTTTCAGATGTATGGCAACAAATTCTGATCCACACAAATGCCTGATAAAAATGAAAAGGAAAGAACATGAAAGACTCTTTGTTCTTCTTAAAAATTCTCAAAAAGTATTTGTATAATCTGTCCGGGCAGATTAAGCATTTTAATTTGTCGAGTGTTTGTTAGACACCTCCGTCCACTGTGTTGTTGTTTCACTACAGTTCAAGTTGTGGCGTCTTGGCTTGATTGCAAATCTCCTTGACTCAGTCTGGCCTAATAATCCCATCTTTAATTGGCTGAGGGAAAGTACGTGTGTCTCGTCTTGCAGGAATACGCAAAGTCTCACAGTGTGTGAGTGCTACCGGAAAACTAATTCAGTCCCAGGGATTTAAATACATAGGCTAGAATTATTATTTTCTAATAGCCTAAAATGCTATGTCATACAACAAAATCTGATTTAATGTGTAACACTGAACACAGCTTTAGTGTATTTTCTTTTCTATGAATCTAAAGCATGTAAACTGTAAACACTGGAGTCACTGAACGTAATCTTATTACATTACTAAGAAAATCAATGTATGGGCACGCCTTACAGATTTCAGATCTTAGTAATATTATATCTTTTCCAAAGCTGCAAATAACCCTGTTATAGGTTTACAGAAGTAAAATAGCATCAATTACAATAACAGTTTTCAGTAAGTGGTATAACAAGACACTTCTTAGACCACAATTAAAAATGGCGTAGGCTAGCTGGTAAAACTCATGCATAAAACTTCCATGTACTATTAAAATAGATTTTGGGATGTTTACACCAGTTATGGCAGGTTAATAATAGTCCATCTTGAACGAGAAGCCAATTGAGATACACCTATACAAAACTTTATTTTCTAAACAACACACCGCAGGAGTTACATTTAAATCTTTTTCAGCAGGCATGATTTCCTGCTTAAATGATATTCAGATGAACTGGAGGATGTTGTGTTGATGGTAAACTGCCTCTCTGTTCAGCTGATTGTATATATGCAGGGTGCCATGCTGGATTAAGATATAGTGAAAACAAAACAGACTAAGCTATTGGGAAGAAACAATTTTTTTGTGACAATCCAAAGGTTGAAAAAACCATTATGATGCTCTTGAGCCGTTGATACACCGATGACAAACAAGAGCTCACAATAAATACAAGGTCATAAAAATCCCCTTTGTGCTAGTATTTTCTACAGCTTCTACCATTGTATTCTCCAGAAAAGAGATTAAGATTAATAATATTTTTACTTTAACTAAGCTGGGATGTTCTGGAGACCAACAATAAAGGCTAATAATGTTTTTATTTCTATTTCAGGATGGAGAGAGATGCAGATTTCTTACACAAGAAGGCAGAGAGGGCAACACTCAGGGTGTGCCTCAGAGACAAATACAGACTGCCAAAGGTAAAGAGTTTTTATCCCTACTGTTCTAGGGTAACTCATATTTATTTCATTTAATACTATATAGTATGCATGAATAAACTCTCAGTTGGAACACAAAGGTATAATGGTTTAATCTAATCTTTACTTTAACCAGCTCTTTAGAATTAGCACTATATACATATTTTATTATAAGACGCTATAATATAGTTGTAAGCATATATAAGGACATATTAAGTATTTGTCAGCGATTATAACTTTTCCCTATAAAGACATATTTCATATTATTACAACTGTGTTTTCCTATATTGTCATTCATTATTATAGTGTTTATACACCAGCCTCCACTTATGGATGTCCACTGGATTAAATGTGTATATACTGTTTATAAATGCTTAATAGGGAGTGTTAAAGTAAAGTGTTACCAGTTGCTTAAACTTGACACCTATGACCTTCTTTTCATCAGATTAATCCTTTTCTCAGTCTTTTAATAAGAACTGGTAATTACAATTTACGCTCCCTATCAAATGGGTTTGAAAGTGTCTTGACCTGCAGTTAGAGCAACAGACAGCTGCTTTATGGTTGCGGTTATCTTTATCTAACAGCAGCACTTGGCAGCTGCAGCTTGGACAACAGGAGGTGGAAGCCATGCCAGTAGATTAGTGGGAAAGACGTTCAACCAGCGTCCTGGAGACGTTAGCCTATGTGTCCCATATTGCACCTTGAGTCTTACAAAGCCAAATGCCACTGAGCAGGTGTCCCAGGCTCATTAGGGAGCACTGGGCAGTGTGAACTGGCTTTAAGAAAGAACAACGTCTACTAAACCAAGGCAATTGAACAATTTTAAAGGACTCTTGAAAAAAAAGTGCAATGGAGGAAGAAAAGAAGGTATGTTGGGATTTTATTTAAGACATTTAAAGAAAAACACCAGTAGAGTGTCTTCTAATCGTATAAATTAATCTAGAGGTGAAAAAGCCTTTCTAATACCATGATTTTTATTCTGAATGCAGTGATGACCTTGGCTTGTGGAGGTGTTTAGTCTCACTCAATAGACACTCTATTATTCACTTTCTGGTTTAAACAATGGGTGCATTTCTTTTCATGGTTTGTCTTTTAAATTGTGACCACACACATATGTATGATGAAGACAATGGCAGGAGGCTATACATATAAATCCAATTATTTTCCAATGATGTTTACATTGCTTGTAAGCTGGAAAAATAACTAATGACAATGATACAACGAGTCTCTTTCAGAACTGAAATATATATTTTAATTGGATTTCCAACAACAAGACACCTAAAGCAATCATGTTCTGTTGATTATTTTCATTTAACATGTAAGAGGTTGAGAACAAGTAAATACACGCTATCAAGCGTGAGGTCAGAAAAATATATATTTATAAGTACAAATGTACAGTATGAGTAGAAACAGGAAGTCGGTGCTGTTAGTCTAATGGAATTAGAGTCTCGTGCAACGCTATAGAAGTTATCTTTAGACTATCGTTGGGATTCGGAGAGGAAAGGCTAAAGCAGGGCTGAGATAATCCCACAGATTGACGTTTAAAGTAGTCACAGACTATTGCATGACTATTCCAGATATTGAGCGATGTAGACTGAGTTAGTTGGAAAGGCTTTAAATTGAGAATGTACACACGGTGAAGGGGGATGATTCGCAAAAATGTAGAAGACACAGACAGCAGAATATCCTTGAGAGCAGCAACTGGAACCTGGATTAAGACGGACTTCATCTGTTTGTTTGTGTCCTAGTTTTCTTGATTGTTTGCTTATAATTTGAATTCAAACCGACACCAATGTAAAGTTTTTAATGTGTAACATTAGACCTAAAAGAAGTCGAATCAAAGGAGGAAAATATAATTAATCGGAAAGTGGTCAATAAATCAGGTTTATGTAAAGGAGGACAGCATGTTAATCCTGTAAAAAGCCTTTAAGTTATCCTTGAGGTTGTTTACTTCTGCAAATAATAATTTAATGCCATAAGTATACAGTCTTTGTTATAGTCAGGGAAAACAATAAAACGCTTTCCTTAATGTCTGGTATTCTTCATATATAACAACGTTATAGTGACATTATGGAAAATTATTTGACCTAATATCTATTACTGCTCCAAAGAAAACAAAGAACATTTGAAGATAAAAATGTGTGTAAGTCTCAACCTATGACATTTTACAACCCTATATTATTAATTTTGTGGCCTCTTTCATGTTCTAAAGATGTTGCATACCAAATAAGAACCGTAGTGATACTTTATATGTGATAAAACAGAGACTTTCTGATCCTTGTCATACGTCTGTTTTTGGGTTCTGACTGTGTTTTCTCCCCAATGTTTTCGTCTGCAGAGCGAGCAAGATGAGAACATGATCGAGATGGCCGGGGACGACGTGGACGTACCCGAGGAGCTGCTCAAGATGGTGGACGAGGACGCTACGGAGGAAGAGGGCAAGGACTCCATCATGGGCCAGTTTCAAAACTTGCAGAACATGGACATGGACCAGCTGAAGGAGAAGGCCTCGGCCACCGTCACCGAGCTGAAGAGCAAAGCAGAGGAGAAGTGCTCCGTCATGTGAATGGCCAGAGGTGATGGTCTGGGTTTGAATAATGAAGAAGAAGAAAGGGAGAAGAGAAGAACATGTGAAACACGCTTTCTGGGAATCTGCAGAGTGAGCTGTGTTAATAAGTTTGGGATTCAGTTACTCCATAAACCGCCTATAAAGTATTCACTAAAACTATAAGCACTAAAAAGGCAATTTGTCTTTCTGTGATCAAAAATCTAAGCCTGGCCACGCCTATCTGCATCTGCATCTACTGGAGGATGGGTGGTCATTTACTTATTTGATTTAACTTATCATTGCAATAAACTGGGAATACTTAAATTAAAACCAAGATGCCCCATCTCTCCCCCATGACATTTTCTTTAGATCATTTAGGTAGAAAAGTGATTGTATTGCTTTTTACATCACATCACAGGCCACAATACATTAAAAAAAAGATGATTCTTTGTGATATAAACTTTTTTCTCTGTTTGTTGTGAAATGAGACAGTTGCGTGATTTTAAGTCAAATAAATAACAATATACTCAGACAAAAAAAAATTATTTACGTTAAAAATTCAACCCTGTCCAAGTGTTTCAACTTTCCTTTTGGTTTACTGGTATTTCTAGATTATTTTTTGTATGTGGTGTTTGAATTAATTATGATATTTAGATTTTCTTTCAATGTTAAAGCAGACAGTCTTCATAAGTCTTGACATGTTGATTTACTTTGAATCTGTCCTCACATTGTAATAAAAATGGTCAAGCCTGAAACATTTGCAGAGACATTTGCAGATTTGCACAAATCATCATTTGAAAATGCAGAATGATTTATTCCATAAACACAGAAACAATGTACATAAACACTGATGAAATATATGGAGGTACTTCAAACTGAGAAAACAAATGTATTGTTCAAATAAAGATGTATATTGAAAACGTGAAATATGTCTGTGTGTGTTGTGATGCTAAGTGCTGGATATTTGTCAGTCAAATTCATGTCTTTACTAAGCTCTGTGAGAGTCAGTTATTATTAATTCAATGAGGCCTGATTTTAGGAAAAGACACCTTGTTAAATGTATTAAGTTTATCATTTCAAATCTTCAGTGGCTTTTACAATGGTCAGTCGCACAGATATTCTGTTATACAACCATGAAACATTTAGGATTATGCAACTACAATTAATCACATCTACCCAAATCAGGGCTAATGCAATGAATAAAGAATAAAGGTCTTAATTTAATTGGGCATTATCCAAACACTTGTTTGGGATGATTAGGCAGAACAGGGGGGAGGAAGGAATCCCCAACATTTAGAGTTTCACATGAACCCAAGTTTAAACGGCTGTGGATTTATAAAGTCTGGAGATTACCATCTAATAGGATCAGCATAGCCAAGGTTGTCAGCCCATGCCCCCGCTCTCTCTCTCTCTCTCTCTCTCTCTCTCTCTCTCTCTCTCTCTCTCTCTCTCTCTCTCTCTCTCTCTCTCTCTCTCTAAATGAGAACAGGACAAACTGAAGTCTTACAATACCAGAAGTTGAGCTAAGAGACATGCAATTTATAAAAATGTGAAGCTGGAGGTACAGCACAGACTAGGGGTACTCGTACCACGGGGGGTACCCTACTTCTGCAGTTGTAAACGGTTGAAATTGTTTAAAAGTAATGGATATATGATATTACCTTTTCATACGTGTCCTGGCTGAACTGAAGTGAAGTATATAGATCTTTTTCACAGCAGCAATTTTGACATGAAAAAGTAGGGTAAACACTATCAGGTTCAGTGCCTTTCAGAGCCTTTCCAGTGAGCCAACATGAACAATGGCAGCACCCTGACTCTGTCTGTTAGCTTGTCAGTAAGTTAGAAGCCGATTAAATTAACATTAATACCTTAAAACTAAGATACTTGATTTGCACATTTGATTTTATAACAGAAGAATGGACTACGACTCAGGATTCCAGCCGGTGGTACCGTAGGTCCATTATTGTAGTATGTCCTACAAAAAAAAACTACTGGCTTTACTCTGAACGTAATGCTATAACAGACATTGTGGGTCAGACATTGTGACCCACAAAAAATGATTTCTTGTTACATGTTCCAAAGAGGCTGTAAAAAGGGTTAAAGTTGGTAATAGTTGAGTAAAGACGACCCAGATTGTTTACTAGTTGGATAGAAACACATCAGTTTCAGTATTTATTATCCAACCTGGCTTCTAGTCTCAGTAGCCAGTTACGACGGCTCCTCCAAGAGGGAACCACTTTCAGACTGTTTTCATCTTGTTTAAAGAACAGATCTGTTTATATTGTTGTATTATTTTACAGTAACTCTTCCATATTATTATTACTGTATTGTTCAAATTAGACAATATATGTTGGGCTTTTTGTATAGTTGAGTCTTAAATTGCCCTTTCGCTTATTTTACATCAGCAGCTGCAATAACAGTATTTTATTGTATAAATACACTGTAGGTTAGACAATAGCACTGTAAAATAAATTACGGTAACATTACAATAATGTAATGCCAAAAATAACACTATAATACTGTACTTCATTTTACAGTATATGCTAATAATATATGGTCAGGGCCATGATCTATCTCAGATTTGGAAAGGTTTTTTGCACTGAAAGGACAAAGAATTTCAAATGAAGTTTGAGTTGACATCATTTTACCACACATACTTTCAAATAAGTTGAAGAAAGCAGCAAGACATTGTCTGTCTGCCATCATAGTGTGACATTATTGGTATTGTGAACACTGGAGGTCATTATACTGCTGGTACAGAAGCCTTGTTCCGCCTGTGTGAATGTGACTTTCAAGGCTAACTGCCAGCTGAGCATTGAGCTAACGATACAGAAACTGAATGTTCGTCTTTTTCCACAGGTCAAAACATAACTGACATTTTAACAATTAAATTGAATCAATTCAATCTCAATGGAACATTTCCAACATACATCTGAAGAACCTATTTCTGTAAGTGCACCATAAAACGTTGTCAGAGCTCTTATAAAACAAGAGATCACGTTTAAAAACTTTTGCTGTATAAATAAAGTTTTGCATGCCTCACAACTTTTTGGAGCCAATTAAAAGAGTTCTCAGTTAGCATCTCTCTCCCTGTGACCCCCCTCCACTGCAGGCAAACAAAGGATAAGGTCACCTTCTGTAATTAGGAAAAGCTAAATAGTTTTAGGGGTTTTAACTCTTTTGAGTAATATAATGTAATCCCCTTAAGCAGGATTACCACACTGCTGTCAATCTTTGTTTGCTGTTAAGTGGTTATAGCCCAAATTTGTTATTGTTTGGGCTTTGTTACCTTCTTTGACTCAACACCTACAGGAAACTGGTTAAAGAAACTCCTCATAGTCTGGTTTATGACTCATTAATACAGGATTTAACTGAGTTTAATGAGCCGGTAAAGGTATTTAAGTTTCTTTTATTCAACATGTGTCAGGAGGTGCCAGATTCTTCCTCTATGTCAATAAAACAAACAATTCTTCAACTAAATAAATGTCTATTTGGTTTGGCGACAATATCTTGACGCTTTGATTAAATATTAAGCTGTCATCTTGCAATCCGTGTCCTGACCAGAAATCTTGTAATTATGATTTTGTTGTACCTTAATCTGTGGGCCTAATCTTCCTCTCTTTTTTTTTCACAGACTGACATGAACATGACATCTGGAGGAGTGGAAAGATGGTTTTAAGATTTATGTAAGTAGGTTTAGAGCCAGCACTGACTGATGCACTTGAGATGGGGAGGAGTTAGGGAGGGGAGTGCGCTGGTTCCTGCATGGGCGCTGTTACCCCTAAATCAGGGGCAAATCCAACAGGACGTCCCCTTTCTGACGTGCAGCAGGGGTGCCGCATGAGCAGGGGGTCTTTACTTACTTTAAAAGCCCCCTCTGAAGATGCTGCTTATCCACTGAGCAAGTCTGGTCTTACTGGTGCGTATCTTGTGCGCAAGTTTTCCAACAGCCCTCAGCTTTGGTTTGGAATTTGCAACTTTAACTTAAACACAAAGAGCAGCGAAGATACATTTGAAAACAAGTTGGAGTGTGAGTAATTTATTTTTTTTACCATCTTTTTGGACATTACCGACAAATGTGGCTTCTTGGATCAACTTCCCAAGTGATGATGATGGATGAGCGCTTGTCTCCCTCCGCTCGCTCCGTCCAGAGCCTGGGGGAAAACCCGTCCACCATCCACAGCATAGAGGCGATACTGGGATTTAAAGAGGACACCATCTTCCACAAATCATCTGCATCCTACAGCATGACAGAAAAAGTGCTGGTCAAAGATGCTGAGCGGAATGTAATCGTGACCCCAATGAAGAAAAGTCATTCCTCAGAAAGTTTTGACAGTAAGTAGATTTAGTTTTATTTTAAAATGTCAGTATCAAGTCAATTTAAGTGCAAAAACTAACTTAAAACATGGCATGTATCATCTGTAATATTAAGTCTTTGGGTTTCTGAAGTTTTTAAACCTCTAGATAACGTTACAAATCATCCAGTAGGCTAATCATTTTCCAACATCAGGTGTCATTTTGTGGGATTTTGCGCATTGTGTTTCAGCAGATTCAACTAGGCTATAAATAAATCCCCCAAAACGAACAAATTAATAAATAAACACAATAATGAGCTACTTTGGAGAGGAAAAGTAGAGTTGGAACTTAATTGAAACTGTCAGAATTTGATTTTAGGAAGTATTTTTAAACTTTGCCAAAACTTTCAGGCTTTTTCTCACACGGTTGTTTCTCCGCAGGTGTGTGTTGCGCCAGCAGCGCCGCAGAAGCGTCGGTCTGCCCGGACTCACCGGACAGAGACGGCAAACTGTCCGATGATGAAAACCCCAAGAAGAAGCACCGTCGGAACCGGACAACTTTCACCACCTTCCAGCTTCACGAGCTGGAGAGAGCTTTCGAAAAGTCCCATTACCCGGACGTGTACAGCAGGGAGGAGCTGGCGCTGAAGGTCAACCTGCCGGAGGTCCGAGTTCAGGTACGGATCCCCAAAACAGAATCGCCGTTTTTCTTCATTGTGCACCCGTATATTCGGCCTAATGGTGACTGAATAACAAAAAGTGATAACAATTCTGTGGCCATATATGAATTATATCCAAGAACACATCTGTAATATAGCCAATTTAATGAACATAGCAACAGAAGAAAAACAGATAATCTTTCCAAAATAAAATATGAATACATTCAGTAAGTTTATTTTGGGTACATCTAGCGTTATTATATCAAATTAAAAAAGCTACATTATAAATTTAGAGAAACTATTTGTGACATGTAAGTTTAATTTTCTCACATTATTTGTTATTTTCTTCCTTGCACCTATTATTCCCAAAACTACCTATGTGCAGAGTAACTTAAATTGTTTAGATCAGTGAAGAAAAGTTAAAATGTCTGATGAACTGCTGCTGGGGGGAAAAAAAGCTATTTTACTTATCTGGCTGAGTTGAGACTGAGACATTATCTATTTTTAAAATATTTAACTTGCTTCAGGTGAGGCTCTTATAGATACAACACTGAAAGAAACTGAAAAGTTGGAAGTTGAATCAATTTCTTTAAAAAGTTTTGTCACAATCACTAGTGATCGATAAGCTTTATAATTTAATGCAAAGAGCTTCATTTAATAGCTAAAATCTTCACTCATATATCTCATATATCTTCTTCCACATTTCTGCAATGTTATATGTATATGTTTTATATAGTACATTAAAAAGAATACAGCCTTTTATTTCATTTTAAGTGTTTTTCTCTCTTCTATCTATTCTGTGTGTTGGGTCATAAGCTGCTGCATGAGTTTTTCATGGATGAATAAATAAAGTCATATTGAGTTGAAGTGGAAATTAAAATCCTCCTCTTTCTTTGCAGGTGTGGTTCCAAAACCGGAGGGCCAAGTGGCGTCGGCAGGAGAAGCTGGAGGTGAGTTCCATCAAGCTCCAGGACACCTCCTCCTCTTCCTTGCTCTCCTTCAGCCGCTCTCCCACCAGCTCTCTGGGCTCCAGTCTGCAGCTAGACCCCTGGCTCTCCACCCCGATCACCACCTCCACCTCCCTGCAGTCCCTCCCGGGCTTCATCACAGGCTCGCAGGTCCTCCCAGGCGCTTACACCCCTTCTCCTCCCCCTTCCATGCCCTCTTCCTTGCCGGCCTCCTTCCTCAACTCCCAGGCCCTGGGACACAGCCCTCACTTGCCCCACATGGGCTCCATGTGCCCCCCGCCCCCAGTGTACCAGTGCTCAGCTGATCCAAGGAACTCCAGTATTGCCTCACTGAGGATGAAGGCCAAGGAACATATTCAGTCTATTGGGAAGACGTGGTGATGCTGCTGGAGGTTAAACCATGGACACGAGAACCTAGAATACGTCATGCTGCATCTTTTGAAAAACTGACTTCATTCTTCATGCTGACGGGATTTTTATTTTGGAAGTTTTAAACATTTAAATCATCAGTTGGCATCCTGGAACAGAGACATCCTCATCACTTATAAGGGTAACGCTTTAAGCAGTATATAAAACTGTAATAAATGGTATAATGAAGTTGTAAGTAGATATAAGTGTTTATGAATTTATTTGTCAACAAGTATAAAATATATTATACATCGTAAAACACAGTTGTAATAATATAAAATATGTCTTCATAGGAGAAGTTGTCAACAAGCAAACACTTTAAAATGTCCTTATAGCTCATTACAACTACATTCTAAAGTGTTATAACTCATTTAATTTAATGAAAGTAAAGTGTTACCCTTATAAGCAACTATCTGAAAATCTGTGCCACTAACTGTGACATTCCTGTAATATATGAAACTAATGAACACTGATGAGCTGGTGTTTTCCTTCTCCTTTTTCTTCCTCTGCAAGCTGTGTTTACTGTAAGGTTGTACATTCATTCAGCCCCGTCTCATTCTTATTCAGTGTTATATTGCCGATGTAACTAATACAGAGTTCATTAGTATCAGTATTTATTCCTCTTTTGTACTAGGGGCCCTCCTCATTTCAATTCATTATCCCTGCTGGTTTTTGATCTTCATCATGAAAGATTTAACAATGTGAATATTTTATGTATACAATAAACTTTATATGTAAAACCCATGAACAAAATAGTGGCTGATCAAGTTTTCCCAGACAATTTGTCACATTTGAGAAATGTAGATTTGTTAGACAACGAAAAAATGTGTGTGTGCATCAGGAATGACTGATACAAAAGGAAACGGCAGGAAAAAAATATCTATTACCTGTGGTTGATTGGCACATTTATGTAAAGATATTTTAAAGCATTAATCATGCTGCAGAACAGCACCTCTTAGTGGTGGAATCCTCTATCAGGTTGGGGAAAGAGTTTTTCAGAAAGAGCAATAAAACTTTAACACTAAAGCAAAGCTAGTGATGAATGGATTATTTTTCAAGAATAATTAGGTTATTCAATACTGAACTGAATCCTCAAATTCTCTCTAAAATCCCTTATGGGCTCAAATAAAGCCACACATCTTACTACAAATGTAACTTTGGCTCAACAGAATTCATTTAATCTCTATTGTATCAGGTTTCATACCACATTAACAAAATAATTTAATTTAAAGCAGCATTAACAAGAATAGAGAGTGTTATTCAGAGACAGCTTAAACTCCCAGACTTCCTCCCTCTGTTTTACAGAATGAGTTTGTCAACCCACTTATTTCTTCCTCATTAGCTCCTGTAAACTTCATCCCATTCGCTCCTGGGATTAGACTCATAATGATGGGGTGAAAGTGGCTTGTACCTCTATTGTTCGCCAATCATCCGTGACAAATGAGGGAAGAGGACAGAAGAAAAAACTTTCCTTTGGCTTTTAAAGAAAAACGATGTGTGTAACCAAATTGTTTCAATTAGCATTTCCTATTGTCTGCAACCCCTGTGGGCTAATAATAGTCCCCATCATCATCATCTATCCTACTGTCCTAAATAGACACTGGGGTGTGTTTGTGTTTATTTGTTCTGATGAGAAAAAGCAGCATCAGAGCTCAATTAATGGGCCTTAAACTGCTTTTGGTGATCTGTTGTCATCTCTAATTATGATCATGTTAACTGGTAAGCTACTCAATATGTAACACAGACAAACCACGGATGCTGTCAAAATGAATATTGTGCGCCATCTGGTGGCATAAACTGCTTTACAGTGCAGATGGAGCATCATATATTTTGAAAAGTAGAAGGCCACTCCTGTTGTGCAAAGCATGATCAGACATTCACAATGCAGTTATCACAACGTTAGATTTATTGAGCATTCTCAGCTTTTATAACATAACCTCGTCATGTCAGTCTGCAATCAAACTGCTGCATAATATGCAAATTAGAAATTACTGATAAAATAAACTTCTATTGGGTTTCCAGTGTGTTCTTACAGCAGAAAAAATTTACAGTGTGGATATGTGATTACAGGGTTTAGAAGATAATGACGACAGAATTCGTCTTGCGTTCAGGTGGAATCATTGTCTTGCAGTTTCAAAGCCAGAAGAAGCAGATCTGACATCTATAATGCAGTGATGAAATAGGGGGGAAAAAACATATGTAAACATTTTATTTCCAAAATGGTAACACTGACAAGTTAAAGTAGAAGGTACAATCCATAAACTGACCTCTCTGAGATATTTGTCTCGGTCCTCTCCTCTCCAGCCGCTGCGCAGCCGAAGCAGCCTGTCAGCAGTTTGTGGCATCATCTTTTTTTGGTTCTTTTGTTGCATCAGAGCCTCCATCAGACGCTCATATCGGTCGAGCTCTGTGACTCCAGATGTTTCTGAGGGTGTGTGGTAGTCACTGTTGGGCTCCTGCAGTTCAGGCAGGCTCTCGATGCTCTTCTTCCCCATCAAATGACCTGGGAAGTTGGACACAGTGGGATGCATCAACTGTTCTGGAATAAATCTGTTTGAGGTTTAAACAACACTATGATAGGCCTTAATATGTAATTAAACTTTATATAAAATCCACACTCTTACCACATTGCAAGCATGGATGGTTAGAAAACCATCTATTGCAATGTATTCAGTATGTGTCTCCCATTAAACAGCTTTAGAAGAGAGGTACATTTGTTTAAAGTACTTTAATTTGATTTATTGTAATTTAAATACCTTTGTTTTGTCCTGCCAGAAGCTAAGAAAAACCTGTCTGTCTATTACTGTACATGAATAGGTAACATAGGAGTTATTGCTGGCACACATATGAGGCAGATCACTGCATTATTCTAATTATTATAAATTATTAAACATTATTATTTTTACAAGTGAGAAAATATATGTTCTAAAGAGCAACTGTCTAAGGGAGTTAGTTTCTAAATGTGCTTAAAAAATTGGCTGATCCTAAGAGATATTATACAATTTGATCTACATATAACCACCAACTATGGTGCATATTTACCAAATAAAGCAACCAAAATGATATTAAATTAAAAAAATAAATAAAATTCAATATTACTTTTGCTTATCATATTGAAAATGTGAAGTTGATCTTACCTACAGCCCAGTGGTTGCCGCGTGGATACATTTTGCCAACAACTGCCGCAGGACTCTCCGAGCAGTACAACATACAAGGTATTGTAGCCAGAATAATAAAAACTGGCCACACTGGTCTGCAAGTCCATGAATAACATATGCACCCTCCGCCCATGTTATCAGAGGAAACTGTGAGATCTAAACAGTGGTATATTAATCCTTAGTTGCAGATAATCAGCTTGATCTAACTTTAGAAAATCTCCACCATAGTCGCTTTTTATTGCTGTGAACAGATACCGCAGAGAGGGGAAAAGATCTCCAGCTGCAGACTTCTTGTAGTTACACTCCCGATGCCTTTGTTAGAAGTGACTAATGATGAAAGTTAAATGCCCCTCCTGATACATCTGTGCGTCAGCGGGTGTTTTTAAAAGTAGCACGGTGCCAGAGCGAGGCTGAGAAAGTGAGGATGACAAATGATCATAGGCTGTAATTATTATTGCTCGCTATTGTTTGTCCAGAGATTGCAGGGTGACTGCAGGGGGTGGCAACGTCATTTCGCGATGATGGACGAAACTTCTCAATAATTGCTTCCACTCTCCAAATAAATGGTGGAAAGGTTGGCAATGGCCAGATCCTTGACTTGAGAAAAAGTAATAGGCTAATACCAAAGTAATGTTTCCTAATATTGTTAGTAGACTACTATCAGCAAAAGTCGGCTATCAAGAGTAAAAAAAAAAAAAACTTCTTCTTAATCCTAACCTATATAGGGTATTTCATTATTAAGTTAATTATCATTTCTGAACTTGCATGTAAGAGGGGTTTTAATGTTGAAGCTGGTTGTGGTGGAGCAAGTGTTACTGTTGGGCAGTCTAATCAATAGCATATTATATTTAAAAAAGTGATCAAATGCTTTACAATGTTAAATCTTAATCTAAAAAGTAGCTGATAAACACCTGTCATATTAATATAGTGGAGTAATGTTCAATATCTCATTCTGAAATGAAATTGAATTGTACAAAATGTACATAAAAACAATTGTATTTATGCCACCCATTTAGCATTGCACTCCTATAACATTGCTGGACTTATAGTGGGGTACAGTTTCTTTAAAGGCTCAAAATCATTGCAGCTGAAACAGAAATATTGTCATTTTTATGCCATACATTTCTTCCTTGTCAAAGCTTGATGCCTATATAACCCACAATGACAGTCAAGCGCCTACAGTTCAGTCGGACATTCAGATGTCTAATGCTACCAACGGCTAATGTAGCCTCGAGCCACTAGCCTCAAGCAGAGATGAGGAGCGGTCTGATAACCTCACTTCTTTCTGACCCCACACCTACAGATTTCCTTGTCAAACTTGTACTCTTCAGTCCCAATCAACGCTGACTCAAGTGACATCACTTGAAGCAGTTTATCAGATTTTGCACAGCTCTTTGTGGAGCAACAAAAGGCTTTATACAACTTTTTCTTGTTTTGTTTTCAAGTTGATGATGATATGTTTACCGATCATGATTAGTAACTCTCTGTGTGAAAACAGTTGTATAATGTCTTCTGTGTACTAATAAATTCTGATAAAACAACTCATGATATTATCAAGGATAACGTTTTTAACAGAAAGCCTGTGTTACAAACTGGTACAGTCACAAAAAGATGCTAATGCAGAGTCAACTGTTTTTTGAGCTTGGCCTTTAATGTTTTCATCATATAAAATCAAAGTAACTGGAAAATCCAGCCTTCAGAATATTTGATCAGTCAATTACAATAAAAGTACCTCAAAATTGTAATTAAGTACAGTAATTGAATATTACTTTCTACCAATGGCTTTACATTAAACTGATGAATGTTTTATTGAAAGGGTGGAGGGAAATCTGCAGATAGAGAGAATAGAAAAGCCCTATTAGGCAGATTATTCTAAAAACTCAAAAAGTGACTTGATACTACAACTAAAGACACAACAAAGACTTTACCAAGACTTTTTTTTAGATTTTTGTTTTCAGAGCAGAGGAGATGACGCATCAGTTAAAAAATCAACAGTGATTGTGCGTCAAGACGCCACGAACTACGATGATGAATATTTTTGCTGCAGACAACACCTGTCGTGTGTTACAAGAATTTAACAATGCAGCACAGTATTATTTATCGGCACAGTTTATTACAGTATATTTATCCTTCTGGAAAGGTCAACAGTGTGAATTAAGCAGTCCTCAAACACAGTGAGGTGCCCACGCGTGAGCCTGTGTGGAATTCTCATACTTGATTGATCCCTTTCATGACAGTATTGACAGACAGATTGCTGGAGGAAGTGAATAGATGAGGACAGATAAGGAGTCCACGCAGCAAGTAAGGAACATTTTGCGTTGAAAAGGTTGAAGGTATTGTCAGGTCACAACTCAACAAACACATCCCAGGATATTAGAGAGAAACTCTTGCTCGTAACATATCATATCCTTGTCCATGGGTGACCTTAACAAAACAGGATGAGTCACCAGTGGTCAGAGGGCAGTATGGAGGTAGGACACACAGAGCAGTGCCATGTGAAATATTTGTTGGTTTATTTTTATGCGAGAGAACAAGATCCTGCATATGATCATGTACCAAGAAAATGATGAGAAATCACAAAAGTCCAAGATTATTGTACAACTGAAATAAAACACTGAATCTCTTTATGAACATACTGATAAAGTCTTATTTTATGTTTCATTAAAAACTTTAAAAACCCTTATATGGTGATATTGGGGGATATTATTGCACAACAAATTAACAAAAACAAATGAGAATGACTTGAAAGATGTCAAATACTGCAAAAGAAAAGGTATAAACTCTGCATACTGAGAAGCCAAGACATTTTGACTCATTCATCTCACTCATTCATGAGCTCAGTAACAACCACTCATGTCTAATTGCCAGCCCTTGATCCCCAGCACGAAAGACCGCTGAAATAAGTTTTCGACCACACAATTAAACCAAACTCACTTAGTGAGAAAATCAGAATAAGTGAGATTGCCTGCGTCATTCAGCATTTTGCATGTGTAAGCTGGTAATTATAGTGTCTTGATTGCATAAAGTGAGCTGGAAAGATTTAACAACTTATATTCATTAAAAAAAAAAAAAAAAATACTATTCTCCACACGCTGGTATCCCCTGCTATGTATAACTCATAAAAAGTAAGTTAAAGTAAGTGAGAGTGCATAATGATGTGGTACAATAGCTCCAACTGTAATATCCTGGTTTACGCTCATTTGTTGGGAGTAGAAACAGCAGATGGCACTGTGGAGTGAATTTATGAAGAACTCAGTCAATGTTTTTTAAATGATACTGTCAACTTTATGCTTTATCATCATCTTTATGAAACATTATTGATACTAAAAACATTTATTCTAATGTAGCATGTTTCTTCAGGCTACTTTGATATATTTCATGTACAACAAAGTCAATAATAAGTGTTCTCATGCTTAAAATCTATTTTTTGTTTTAGAGCTGTGAAAATAATGCCCTTTCTACTATCTATTCATACTATCCATTCTTTTCAAATGTCATCCGATACATTAAGTGTTCTGCTGGTGGTGTCATGACAGTAATAATACTGGCTTTATGAAAAGTAAAAGCCATTTAAGGAAGGCCTTTCAGCGAGAAAGTGTCAATTAAAAAGGACAGTTTGTCATTATGAGGTCTTTGCTGTTCGTCAAAGTTTTGACTAAATCACCTGGCAGCTGTCCAATCACAGACCTCGAAGATAGCCCTGGGATTTAAAGAAACAAATTGCTTTACTTTCCTATTCTTACACAAGAGGCAGATAGGGAGAGCGCATATAAATTACTGTTGCTTAATGTTTTGATACAGAATGTGAAACTATTTAAGCAACAAATGCCTTCCTGTCAACTCAGTGCAAACTCCAGGACAACTTTAAAGCATTCAAATCCTGCTTTACTGGCCCATTAAGATTGGAAATAGCATCTTATTCCACACTGTCAGACAGCATCATATATATTGTATATTACTGTATATATAGCAGCTTGTTCAAGCCCAAGACTACCTTTTTATGACGGAAATATTCAAGTACACTGGCACATCAATTTATACATTTCCCCCCAAAATAATTGACATCTTGGTATGTTTGGAAAATATAAGTTTAAATCAGTTTTCAACCTGGGGGTCTGGGGGTCTGGATCTCAGGATAACTCTGTGAGGTAGCAAGATGAACTGGATAAGAAATTAAAAAAACAAACTTAGCAAAAATCTTTTTATTTTTTCAAGACTTTTTCCTAATCTTTTGCCTTTTTCTTGTAAAATACTGAATGCATTTACCTCTTACCTCTAAAAAAGGACTTCATATGAAACAGTCTAAGAAGATTAAATCCCTCTTTGGTTGAACCACATGTCCACACAAAGGTCATAATTGAGCGGTTGCTTTGTTTCATTTTAAGGTCAGAAGGCAAAAAGGTTGGAAAACACTGGTTACAATTATACAGGATATTAGGTAGAGCAAAAACATCTTACATCTGAAAGATGATACTGATACCAATCAACCATGATATTATATAATCATAGTACAATTATCCTTTAATTCTGTTTACCAAAACCGGACTATCTAAAATAAAATTTTCTGCTTCCCTTAAAAGTGTTTAGGTTAAGCAGGAAATTCTGGAAATTGAGGAAAACCAGATGGTAAGCTTACAGCAGCTCCTCTTTGCTGCCTGTATCCCACATTAATGGAGACAGCGTGACGTCACTTGACTGTGTCCCTGTTCAGGTGGGGGAGCATAGCAACTTCTCTCCTGCACTGAATCTGTCACACTGTTGTGAGGCGGGAGGCTCCATGAGGGCCTTTTATGATATATATGCACAAATCCAGCCGTTTTACAGTTTATAAAATGCATTTGTGTTGTCTGATGAATAAATCTGGCATGGTCCATCATAATGAAGGCTTATTAGTTTATGCTGCAGCATTTATGGTCGCCTTTGATAGGTCTGGCTGATGTATCAAGGACTGGTAGTAGGCCAAAGAGAGACAGCCTTATTCAGCTGAAAGCCTCTCTCTGCAGTCTCCCAGGTAGGTTATGAAATACTTGATTGGATTGTGTTTTGTTTAACAATTTGTGTATTACACGTATTGTTATGCGGCGTCATCTTTTTACCTTTTGATTACCTTGTTATTAATGTGTTATTTCTGTATCTGCACATTGGCTAAATGAATAATCAGATAAGGATGATCATGCTCATGTTTGAATTGGAGATGTTGTATGAGTTACAATTCTTCAAGTGTGTAGAAGAAAATTTACAAAACCAGGCAGCTGTGTTGCCATAAAAGTTTACAGCACTTCCATCTTAAACAGAAGATCTGTCACCAGACTTGTTGACCTTGGCATACAAAGCATGCAAATGACCAGTTGGGCCTAAACAGAGGCCTCGGCTATTTATACATTACATTATTAATATATAATGTTATTGATCCCTGAAGAAAAACAAACCTGCAAGATCAACACTAGTTTATCAGCACCACACTATTTTCTATTCAATCATATGTTGCTATGCTATGACAGAAGCCTAAAATATGAACATAGTGTACATATTTAAGCCCTTATTATACTCCTTTCCTGCTCATTTCCTTTTCTTCCTCTCTATCTCCCCCACCTCCCTCTGTCTCCGTCTCCCTCTCTCTCTTCTTTCTCTGCACCAGCTGCTGCTGCTGCTCCAGAGCCAGAGTGAAGAGTCCCCTCACCCCCCTGCACAGACAGAGACAAAAGGCCTGATTCGCCTGCTGAACACTGCCCCCTTTCTCCATCCGTCCCTTCATGCACGGCCGTAGTGGTGGTGGCGGGGGCTTCAGGAGAAAACGAGGCCTGGACTGGGACTAAAATCTAGGGCTGACCCAGTGAAGGAGAGTAGGAAGAGGGGGAGGGGAGGAGGAGGAGGATGGGGCTGGAATGGTTGGGGCTGAGTAAAGGCAGGTGCTGAGGCCTCTGCAGGAAGACTGTTTTTTCCTGAATATCTCTCAGAGTGGGAAAAAATCTGACAAGGGTATGCCACATTTACCTCTATATATGCATGAACGTGCATGTTTATGTTTGTGTGTCTCTGTGGTGGCATATTTGGGCTAGGGTGGCATGTGTTTGATGGAAATCTGTGAAGGGGGGTGCATGAATGACCTGTGTTTGCCCATGTCAGATTGTTTTTTATTAGGTTTTTTTTTTTTTTACATTCCTTGTCTTTATATTCCACTAATGTAATGCTTTGTGGGGGGCTGCATAAAAGTTTTTAGTTTTCAGAGAGACCACTAGTGTGACTGGGGGTGAAAGCACTGGGTGATCTGGTTGAGAAACAGGCCAAGGTACCGGACTGAGCTTCTACTACCATCATTGTTATCTAAATTTGGTTGTTCTTTTCAAGTCGAATATCAATTTCAAGTACCAAATTTTTGTTTACATTGTATGATTTCTCTCATTTACATTTTGTTTTTTGTGTAAATGTAACTGTGCTCACCCAAACATCATCTCTATTTTTGTGCATTGTTGCTGTTTGTATTTATGTGGCCTAATTTTATGGCAGTGCAAGTGTCCACAGTAGTGAATCTCCATTAACCATGTCCATAAAATATTGTGTGCTCGTTTCATTAAGTCTATTTGACAATATCCATGTAGTTTTGTGAAAAAATGTTGCAGTGTTTCCTGGGAGGTGGACACACTGCTTCTGCCTGTGTGTTTCTGAGGCCGTATTGCAGCACAGGGCTTTATGTTGGGTGACCGGAACCAGCTGAAACCGGTTTGAGGCAGGCGGAGGGCTCACAGGAACAATACCGTCTCTGTGCTCCACTGAGGAATAGAGATAGCCCAGGCTACTCCATGGCAGCCCTTCACAGCTCAGCCACTGGCTACCATGGCACAGACCTGGTCGCTGCTGGCTGGATGTCGGCGTGCTACGCAGCGCGGCTCATAGCGAAGGGGGGGCAGGAGGATCTGGGAAGGGACGAGGGCAGGGGGACGTGGCTGGCTGGGAGTCTGTGAATCTGCAGCCTAGAGCCTGCCTCACACACACACACACACACACACACACACACACACACACACACACACACACACACACACACGCACAGACACACACACACACATACACACACATACATACAGGAGCATGATCTATCTGTCTGTTTGTATGTCTGTGTGCTGCTAGTTGTGAAGAGAATGACTAAGGAGGATCCTTACCAGGACCACCACCACTCACCAGATCCCTGGATGTAACCTGACCCTGTATTCTGGGCCTTTGCCTGGTTGGGAAGAAACAGGAATTTTTTTCCCCAGGCAGGGTGGGGTGGATGGCTTTTTGTGGGTTAGTAGTGTGACTGTGTTTGTTGCAGGATGGAAGGAAGGAAGGAAAGAAGGTTTGGCTAGTGGCTGGAGAGGGACGGAGGCAAGAGGGTGAGGAGTGGCTGATTCACTTGCATGTTTCCACCATTGTTATTTTACATTCACTTTACTGAGATTGTAGTCTTTTACACAGTGTGTGTGGATTGTGGTAATGATGCATGTGTATTAAACTGCTGTTGTTGAGAGGGGTTCTGTGTTGTGTATTTTTCATATTTGTCTACATTTAACCTTCATTTACTCTCTAAGTCAGGCTGCTCTGGCTGTCACGGCTGTGACTAGCTGTTCTTTCCACCAGGCCTTTCTCTCTCTGCTGCAGCCTCACACAGCTCAGCAGCCATTTTTTCCCCCCTCACTGCATTTCTCGCCTGCCCTCTCCCTCCATAACATTTCTCCCTCTCTCTGTCATTCTCTGTATGTTTACCTCCTTATTACAACTATCCAATCATCTGGATTGAATTGAGGATTGTTGCTTTTTGAAACCAAAGATACGGCTACAAGATATGGGTCTGTGTGTGTGCAGATGTGTTTACCATGCATTTGGATTAAAGAGCAGTACTGGTTTAACTGCATGTACCGTACAAGCAGAACAGCTCCACGGCTGTGCCTTTTGTCCCCAACACCCATAATACATACAGACACAGTGCATCTCAGTCCCATTGTATTTTATTTGCTCACATAAAAAATAAAGACTGGTTTGTTTCTGAAGAGTTATAACCCACTGAAAGTAAAGTTTTTCTGTTGTTAAATAATACTGTATGAAACATTTGCATGTAAAATTCACAAACCAAAACATGATATATGAACATTGGTTGTTGATAAACAGGTTAGGTTTGCTTAAAGGTGACCATCTTCAGATATTTTCAACATCGCCTAGAAGTCCTTTCTCATCATGTTCATATACTTAAACCTCTACCTATATTTCATTGAGCTAAAGTATTGTTTACTTGTTTTTTTAACCCCCAAAACCAGCTGACAAGTGCCAGTCTATTACACTAATCCTCTATATTGTATTCATTACTTGGAACAGATCCATCAGTCTCCTGATCATATATTAGAATATATATATAAAAAAACTCTCTGATGTAGCCAGGACGTGATGCAGGTCTTTGCCTTGCTCAACCAGCAGTTTTTCAAGAAAACTAAAACTGATTACATTAGCAGACTGGTTTATTTTTTTTCTCCCTATTAAAATCTTTGATTATAGCGATCCTGACCATATATTGATTGAAGAGGAAAATGTTTTGCTGAGTACAAACATTTAATGTCATCAAAATGTCACATCTACCTCCTGTGTAGACCAGCATGTGCTTCCTTTGTGTTTCTCTTTGAAACGCTTTCATGGAGCTATCCAATGCAAGGATAAATGAGGCAATAGGACTAATTGTACATATTTATATGCACATACTAATACATGTCAGCCAGACCTGCACTGTTTGATTTTAAGACGCAGAAGGAGAGAGCGCTGCTAATGAATAAATGAAACATCAAGCACCAGAAAGCAGCGACTAAGTCATGGTTAACATGGAATTTCATAGGCTGTACTGTATGAGCACACTGGCACACCATGTGGTGACAAATTAAACTGCAGAAGTGACTGTGTATATTTGCTGTTATTATCCATATGATTTTCTATTTTTGTGATAGATTTTTCAACTCTAATTATAAATAAATATTATTATTACCATTACCTTTCTTGTCTTTTCCCAGTAATTGTGTGCAGTCCTATAAATTTGCTAAACAGCTAAGACAGGGTTATTTATACTTTTATCATACAAAATATGATTTTCTCCAGAAATACTGATTTTTACATTGTTGTCTTCATGTCCCAACATCACACTATAACTAATACTAGTCAAAACTCAAAAGCCACAAATACCCATGAACACGATCATACAATAGTGGGCTTAGTCATGACTGTGTAGCTTGTGATAAATTCAGTAAGAAGTGTGCTTCCAAATTTAAAGAGAATTATATGGAATTGCCATCAAAATATCACCAATTTATCACATTTAAACCTAATCGAATTCTGCTCTCAATATGAATTGCCAAGTTATATTAAGATATATTGATAATTTGGGGCTAATGATGGACTGGATGATGATAGTCAGTGTAGTTAGCCATTACACCAAATTTTCACTAGTACAACAAATACTAAGATCTGCAGAGAAGTTTGCAAAATCAATATATTATCCATGGAATATTAACCAGACCATTATGGAAATTATGATCAATGGATATTAGCTTTCTTCCTGCACAACACTAAAACCAAAATACTTGTATCTGTTAAAGAACTCATCATATCATTAGATATAGTTTAAAAAAATATCTGTGGTGTATCTGTTCTCATTATTCTTCCATTTTATCTGTGTTCCTCAGGTGATCTCCTCATCAGAAAAGCAGCAGGACCATGGGAGATATGAAGACGCCAGACTTTGATGACCTACTGGCGGCCTTCGACATCCCCGACATGGTGGATCCTAAAGCTGCTATTGAATCTGGCCATCACGATGACCAAGACGGACAGCTCAAGCAACCCAGTGGTGTGGTGACAACAAATGATGAGGCCCACAATCCCTCAACAGGAAATGATGTTGGCGTTAGTGTCATTGTCAAGAACATCCGAAACACAGATACTGGTGAGCATGGTGGAACCATATTCAAGAAGGATGGGCATTTCCACTGCCATCCCCAAACCCAGTCTGTTGGCATTGGCAATGGACTTCATAATGGCCTAATGCCCGCAATTACTCCAGGTACTCTTTACAGCAAGAATGGATGGAAAGCTCCCAGGGAGGACGGACAGACAGTTAACAACCAATTATCTACCTTCAATCAGTTCAGCCCCATCTCTAGTGCTGAAGAATTCGATGATGATGATAAAATTGTGGTAGATGACCCCGCAGACAAGCAGGGAGGTCAGTCATTCTTGAGGTCCACTACTACGAGAGAGGACCAGAATCCCAAATCTTCAAAGGACAATGTTTCTAAACCCAGAGGAAACGGAGACCAAAAACCTGATCAAAATAAGAACAACAATGGAACTCTGGGAGGTTATAAGTCTAACAACCCCCTTCAATCAAGTTTACCAGAGGGGGAATTCAAGGAAGCTGTTCTCAAGTCTGAAGGTCAGGAGGCAGGAGAGCCATCAGGGCTTGTTAATGTGTCCAGTTTGTGTCAAGTCAAAGCCAAATCCTCTGCAAAACTTTCATCTTGTATAGCAGCTATTGCAGCCCTCAGTGCCAAAAAGGCTAGTGTTACAGATTTGGGTGTTGTGGATTCTCCTACAACAGAGAAAGAACCCATCCAGGACAATGAAATTCCCAGAGCTCCAGAGAAGCCACATGAGCAAGAGTCAGCCCTAGAGTTTGCAAAGAGGCTGTTAACAAGACAACCAGACAGCCCCTCTAGTGTCACAAGTGAAGGTAGCAGCAAAGGTTCCCTTACCTCAAGCACAGATACTGCTCCGGTCATCCCAAAAGTCCGGATCAAAACAATAAAGACCTCATCCGGCCAGATCAAGCGTACTGTCACCCGAGTTCTACCAGAGTTTGATCCTGAGGGTCTGAAGAAAGGAGAGAATAGCCAATCTATCATGGCAACTACTCGTGCAATTTTGCAATCTCCCACGACAGTAGCCACCGCTGGAGGCCCCTCAATTGAAATAACCAAGCAAATGACTATCAAACCTGTGGCGACAGCTTTCCTGCCAGTCTCAGCAGTCAAGACAGCTGGTTCCCAAGTGATTAACCTGAAGCTAGCTAACAACACCACAGTCAAAGCAACAGTCATCCCTGCTGCATCAGTGCAAAGTGCCAGCAGTGCTATCTTGAAAGCTGCTAATGCTATCCAGCAACAGACTGTTATGGTACCTGCCTCCAGTCTGGCTAATGCCAAACTTGTGCCAAAGACAGTCCATCTTAGTAACCTCAATCTTCTGCCTCAGACAGTATCCTCTGCTGTCTGTGATCTCCAACAGGCCCTGTCCTCCTCCAAACAATCACAGCATCAACAAGTGAAACAGAAGACAATTCTCGCTGGCCGGGCCTCAAAGAAAGTCTCTAGGGTTCAAGTGTTCGCCAGCTCTCAAAGCTCTGTAGTGGATGCCTTCAATAAAGTCCTAAGTAGCATAAATCCTGTCCCTGTGTACATCCCAAACCTCTCTCCACCAACCCTAGCTTGTATCTCTCTACCCTCACGCGGCTACAAGTGCCTTGAGTGTGGAGATTCATTTGCCCTTGAGAAGAGCCTGACACAGCACTATGAACGTCGCAGTGTGCGGATTGAGGTCACCTGCAACCACTGTTCCAAAAGTTTAGTGTTCTACAACAAATGCAGCCTCTTGTCTCATGCCAGGGGCCACAAGGACAAAGGGGTTGTCATGCAGTGCTCACACCTAATCCTAAAACCCATCCCTGCAGATCAGATGATAACCACATCTCCGTCATCAGGCCCACCCAATACCACTGGCACCACTTGCACCTCCCAAGCACAAGGTACCACTAGTCAAATCCCAGGGAGAGTTGCTGGTGGTGGGTCCCAAACTGCAGTGATTTCAGCTCCATCCAGTACTCCCCTTGTCGCAGCTATGCCCTTGGAGGATGATGCCTCGAAGCTCTGCAGGCACAGCCTAAAGTGCTTGGAGTGTAACGAAATGTTCCAGGATGACAGCTCCCTAGCTATGCACTATCAGCAAGCACCGGAGTCCAGTGGGCAGGTGTGTATGTTTCGTGTGAACTGTGACATAATATGGTTCAATTTTCTGAATATGAAAGACCTCTGACTTCTTATTGATAAACACAGTACAGTGGGCTATAGAGTTGCAAAGGTGCCATGCCATTGTTCTGACTGGACCCGAAAGGCCATTTGTCCAACAGCCCATCATTCCAAAAACAAGGCCACTGCTCTGAAAGCTCTTTATTCTGCTAATATACACTGGAGTTATTTTGGGAGACGTGCTTCACTAACAGCAGGTGAAAGCTAAATATAGTGTGACAAAAAGTGATTTTACAATCTGTAGCCGAAATGAATGAATTTTTTAACTTTTGTTTTGTTTTTAAATTTTGAATGAATTCAGCTACTATGCTGTTGTGATTTGTTCACAAACTTCTCCATGGCAAAAGTGGCCAAGGCTTATGGGTATATGGGTAGACCCACCAAATTCTTGAGATATCCTCTATGGCAACAGTTTTCAATGAGACCATTTTTCAGTTGAAAGTAATTGAAAACCATTCATAGTGAGGTCTGTTGATTATTCAGGACGGTTTTTCTAGAAAGAAAATTTGTTGCTTTTCAGTATATTTTTCAATTCTTTAGCACACAATGCCACAATAAAATGCAATTGATGAATTTCTTTATCTCCTCTTTTCTATGCCTATAGAAAACATGCACCATCTGCCAAATGCTTCTGCCAAATCAGTGCAGCTTTCTGTCACACCAGCGAATCCACCAGCACAAGTCTCCTTACATCTGCCCTGAGTGTGGTGCCAGCTGTCGTTCTGTCCACTTCCAGTCACATGTCACCAAGAACTGCCTGCATTACACCCGTAGAGTTGGCTACCGGTCAGTCTACCTTAACTAAAATCATAACATACATTTTTATTTTGTGCTGAGATATGGTTCCAAAAGTTTGAGAGCAAATTAATTCCACTTTAATTTTCGAACTATTTCTTTTTTGGGTAGTCAAATCTGATATAAAACAAATTCATGGTAATTAACATTGTGCAGTGTTCTTCTTTGCAAGTCTCCTTTTACAACTCCTTTGTCAGTGGCTATACTCAGACTTAAATGTGTCTTGTTCTTCTTTCAAAATGTGACTGACAATATAATTTCTAATTACAGTTATTATAACATCCTGTTTGCCCAAGATTGACAATCCTATATCATTGAAAGTGATATTAAAAAACATATGGGGAAAAAATTGGACACCACCATTTTTTTGTGGAGTCACCCAAGATACAAGCCAATAAAACTAAAAACTCAGTGTCTGACTAATTATGCTTTCAATTATGAGTCAGGTCTGCAAAATGTTAAGAAATTAAGATCTTGCCTTAAAATTAAAATCTGCAATGGTATAATAAATAAGGTTACTGTTTCCTGGCTGTAATTTGATATTTAATGGACACATACATCAATGGTGCCAATTTAACTCTTGATAAGAAAGTTAATTTATATATATTATTATTATTATTATTATTATTATTATTATTATTATTATTATACTATAAGTTTCAGAAAAGCCTCTCTTTTGATCCCATGAGTCCTGTGCTGAACAGCATGCTAGACTCACCAATCAAGCAAATTAAAAAGACATACTTAAGTTGGAACACAAAAGCGCTTCTGTCTAAGGAATAAGTTAAATTGACTTTCACTCAATTCAAACCTTTTTTCAATCTGACTTTGGCAAACTCTTATCCCTTTTCCCTCCAGCTGTATCCACTGTAGTGTGATCTTCGCTGATGTTGCAACTGTAAAATCCCACATCCAGAGTACTCACTGTGAGGTCTTCTATAAATGTCCTCTCTGCCCCATGGCCTTCAAGTCTGCACCTGGAACGCACTCTCATGCACACACACAGCATCCAGGAATGAAAGCAGGAGAGCCCAAGTAGGTCTTTAATCAAAATGTTTTGCATTGTAATGTTTTATACTTTGTTAAAGACAGATTTCAGAAGTGTATGGCAATTGTTAAGTACACAAAATCTAATATATGTATATTTAAATAAAAATAGTATGCAGTGCACACATAATACATAAGCTTTTTCCTCAAAGAATTGTCAACACACAACACCCATCTACACACAGGCACACACCAATATAACCTTATACCCATGTCTGATTAATCTTTCAAAGAAAAATCATCCTTGCTGCTTCATCAGTAGCAGGATTTGTGTTTTAGACATGGTGGCTTATCTTGGGTTTGTTTTTTCCACGTGGCAACCTTTCACTGACTTATATACTATCCATCAGCACTACTAATGATACAGGTGCTCAGGAGCAGGTGTGCTTGTACCATTGGGTGGGTTTCTCTCTGGTTGTGCCCCAGGCTTAAAGCTAAATAAATACATGAACCAATATTAAATGTACTGAACCATCTTTTTAACTATGATTAGGTTTGTTTAGAGATACAAACATTAGAGGCAAGAACATAACTGGATCTACAACTGACTTTCTAATAGCTTCATGTGACACATACAAGATAACCAGATAACATTTGCTATGTAACAGCTGAGACTCTAAGTACGTTTTTCTTTGTATATAAATTGAGTCTCTTACATTTTACAATAAACTCCCAGTCATTTGTTAAGACAGCTTTTTTTCTGTCTTTCAGGTTGATCTATAAGTGTTCCATGTGTGATACCGTGTTCACTTTGCAGTCCCTGCTCTACACGCACTTCGACCAGCACGTCATCAATCATAAAGTCTCAGTGTTCAAATGCCCCGACTGCTCGATGCACTACGCACAGAAACAGCTCATGTTGGATCACATCAAGGTGGGCATAAAAAGCCACAGTATTATCCTCTTTATTTCAATTTTCAAGGCCAAATATATGGATACTAATAAGTTTAGTCTATAAATGTTTCACACACCAGTACTTTATAACTTCTCAGTTATGATTCACTCTGCATGTGCGGATCTTTTCCAGACCATCCATGGAACCCTGAAGACCATCGAGGGTCCACCAAACTTAGGCATCAACCTCCCTCTCAGCACCAAGCCCACTAACTCTAACAGTGCCAACAGCAACAGCCTCAGTAACAATAATAACAAAGATGGAGGAAATGTCCATGGTCAAGACAAGGGAGAAAAGAAGCCTTCACCGCTAAAGAAAACAAACAGTAACTGCTCAGCAGACCTCAAGAACCCTTCCGGCTCAGGATACACGTGTGGAGACTGCAATAACCTCTTCAGTTCCAGGGAGGTCTATGTGGCTCACATGAGGCGCGAACATGGCAAGGTGAATGTTTGAAACCATTCTCATAAGGAAGTTTCTGATTACTCCATTACAAATTAAAGTCCTAAATTAAAAATTACTTAATTTTAATTACTAATTACAATATGTATTGATTGTAATCAGGAAAATGTACGGAAAGTATCAAAAGATACTGGAAAACTGGACCCTGTGACTTTTAAAGTGTATTAAATTACAAGATTATTAATACTGGTGCATTAAGGTGTAAGCAGCACTGTTTATTTGGCTGAGGTGAAGCTATTTTTGAATTATTTCATATAAAAGGCTGCAATTAATGATTATTTAAATTTAAAATGAATTCAATTTAAATTAATCTGCAGATTATTTTCTTCAGTAACCTCTTCACATTACTTGTTTTTTTATGTTTGTATGTTTTGTTTATTAGACACACTTTTACACAATAAAATACAACAATTATTATGATTACAAGGAAAAAGCAGCAAATCCCCATCACATCTGACAAGGAATTGCAGTGAGGTAAAAAGTACAATATATCCCTCAAAAATGTGGCACAAAACTCAAGTACAATAACCCAAATTTGTACCTAAGTATAGTAGTTGAGTAGGTCTCTGTTACCACAAGTGACAGAAACATGATCCATAACTGCCTATATTTTAAGGTAGCGTGTACTCCCTTTATATTTCAGATACTGAAGAAACACCCATGTCGACAGTGCGACAAGTCCTTCAGCTCCTCCCACAGTCTTTGCCGACACAACCGTCTCAAACACAAGGGACTGCGAAAGGTCTATACCTGCCCGTGAGTACACACACCCATTGTGTTTTTGACAACAAGTCCTCTAAATTCAACGACAAAATAAGACAAAATTTTTTGTCGTAGTTTCTGATCTGATGCCACTATTGACTGGACGACCGTACCATCTCAGATATAAAGCTGTTTTCTGATCTTACACCACCATGGTTAAGGTTTGGTTAGGTTTAGGCACAAAAACAACCTGGTTTGGTTAGGAAAAGCTAAATATATGTACAAGAAGACAAAATCAGCTTGCATAGGGTTGTAACTGTTATTTTATTGTACTTCGACAGGCACTGTCCAGCTCACAGTCAGCCGTTCACTAAAAGAGTGCTGCTGGATCAGCACATTCAGCTGATGCATGGAGTCAAAGACCCAGAGGCGAAGACCGTCAACTCTGATAATACAGACGCTTTACCTGACAAGAAAACGGTACCGTGAACATACATTTATCATAAGGAAGTGCTACGTGTAAATCTTTTTACCTTACAAGTGATCTTCATGCTTCTCCTGTCATTCCTAACTGGTCATTTTAATCTCCACTACAGACCCTCAGCCCTAAAAGGAAGCCAGAAGAGGATGAGGGGCCTCTGGGCTTGAACTCCAGGGGCTATGACTCACAACCATTGAAGAGGCTCAAGGTGAACATCCTTAAAGTTCACAAGTGTGCTGTCTGCGGCTTCACCACTGAGGACATCGCGGCTTTCCATGAGCACATTCCCCAGCACAAGTCTGATGGCTCATCCTTCCAGTGTCAGGAGTGTGGCCTGTGCTACACCTCGCATCGCTCGCTGTCCAGACACCTCTTTATCGTCCATCGGCTGAAGGAGCCGCAGGGCCTTGCCCGATACAACGGACGGGGCAGGGGCGACGACGAGAGTCAGAGAGAGAACCAGCTGGATGTTACAGACGAGAACAGTGACGGGACACCAAATACCAAATGCAAAGTGTGTGGGAAGATGTTTGAAACGGAGGGAAACCTGAATACTCACATGAGGACACATGGGATGGCATTCATAAAGTCAAAGAGGCTGAGCGTGACTGAGAAGTGAGAGGAAAACACTTCTAAACCATTCCATCTAAAGCAAACACTGTTGTTTTAAACTTATACAGTTTGTTATATTGCCGCACACAACTTATAGTAAGTTGGCTGAGGTTATGCTGCATGTACATAATGTACATATGTACTACAATATGTATACCGTATACACACAAAAATAAGTAATATATGTCAAAGTCACTTCATGAGTCTTTACATGCAACAAGATAGTTTTTTGTACACACGTTTCTATAGGCTTTAAATAGATCTTTTTTATAGAAGAGCTTTTTATTTTAAACAGTTTCCATTGTTGTCTTCTCACTAGGACTAGATAATGTATGAGTATATTGTCGTAATGGGATTAATCCTCATACAGTCAGCAGTGTTCTGAATGTTCGATGCTGCTAACGTCCAGCGAATGTCTGAAAGACAAAATATACATATATAAAACCTTTGGGAGCTTCAGGTTTCCCCAGTACATGTTACCCCTAGTTGAGGTCTTCAGTTTCTACTTAAAAGCTGAGTAGGAGATGGGCATCAAACATTCTTTATATTTTAGTTTTTTTAAATTTCACAGATAACTAATATTTTTCTCTGAGCTCTTCTTAGCCTCCACAATAAACCCTGGCTCTGTTTTCATAATACATCCTGAAACTACTGATCCTAAAACAAAATCTCTTTGAGCTGAAATTACATGACATTTCACAAGATTTCAGACAATCAGACAAAATAAAAACTATTTTCATCCAGGTTATTACCGTTTACATATTAAATGCATACAAAACAAAAAAGTGATTAATGGATTCATTTAAAATGTGTATAACTCCCAGCTTTGTGGATGATTATGTCAAACATTTAAAATCACAAACAGTCTAATATATGGGCCAAATTTAAATTTGCTTTAAAAAATATATTTTGTAAAAGATTGTCAAACTTCTTTCATTCCTGTCTTAATATATATTGTATATGGCAGCTCTTTGTGATTACAAAAAAATGTTTATTTACCTTATTATTAGCATTAGCACTTGCCTTTTATTTAATAGCAGTCTTCTTCACAGCATAGTTCATCTGTTGTTACAGCCCAATAAAAAATAAAGCTGTAACCCTGTATTTTATAACTATCTACAATCTTAATATTATCATTTCTTTTTTTAGTCCTGTTTCTTCAGTTTAAAGTGAAATCATAATGAATGTTCATTGAAAGGAATTATACTGGGAAAACCATCTAAAAAGAAAAACCTCTATGAATGTAAACTTGGCTGTGAAACTAAATTATTCATAAAAGACAACCAGTTCCAATTACCTGAACAATAACTGACAGTTGTGAGATTGTTTTCCCTTGCTTTGTTTGTTCCAAGCATTTCCAAAAAATATCATTCAGTTTTGGACGGTAGTTTTTCTACTCCGACAATAAGACTTTAACTGTCTCGCGCTGTAAAACTGCATGTAAGAAGCAGTCTGTGAATTGTTTGTTGATTAGAATGTGTCTTGCTGCTTCTGCTGCTGTTTTTAGACATTTCTGATGCTTGTGTAAAAAGCTGTTCTTTATGTCAATAAACGATGAAACCTGCAAGGGACAAGACCTGATGTCCACTGCACATGAGACATCAGCTCTTCTCTACGGTAATATCAGAAATCCTACCGTGATCATTCATACTCGTGCTTGTATAGTGCAGTTTGTGGCATGGATCATTATTACTATGAAGGCTGGGTTTTGATAACAGGTGTTTACCGTCTAAATGTCCTGCAATTTTAATTAATTTTAATTCCACCGCAGTGGCAGTATCATAAGTGATTATAATTACTTCTCAATTATACCTAACTTTACCCGAATCCTAAATGCCAACCCTGTCTCCTAAACATTATGGTTTGATACTACTAAATTAAACTTATTAATAAGAAAATGTTTTTAATGAATGCCTCTGTGATATCCACTAAAGCATGATTAACCTAGGTTAATCAACTCAAGGTGCTTTATTAAGGTAAAAAAAAAAAAAAAAAAAAGATTTAGGTTTGCTTATATATTTCTGTCAATTATTTCAAGTACATGCTTGCTTTTCCTGTACTTAACAGAAATCACACTAAATCCTCCTTTGCTAGTCTTAAAGCTGCTCTATGGAGTGTTTTTAGCATCTTTCAGCTCATTGTTTTGGTTTTACAGACACATCTGCAGGCAGTTTTGTCAGTGTGGCTGCTGTGGAACGAAGTTAGCGCACACCTTTGTGAGTTTAGGGAAGGTGGTGGAAAAATTTGTTTCCAGCCCTGTACTATTACTCTCATGCATCTTGCTGTAAAATGCCCTTAATCACCATCATCTTTTTGAAATGTTAACAGTCTAACAGGACAGAAAATGTAATGTTAAAATGTAAAGTGTCAGACTTTGAAAACCCCTGGTGTGGACAAATACGGAGCTAAAAAGAGAGTGCTGTTGCTCAGTGTAGAGAATAATAACACTGTTTGCCATATGAACTTTGCCATATTGACCTTATAAGGTGATACAAAGTCAGTGTTGGGTTTACAGCTTGTTGTGTGCCCCAAAGTGACCAAAAAAATAAATGAATGTCAGTTAAACCAAACTGTTTTATAACAGTTCCCTAAAAACTAATCACACGTGAGATGCAGGATGCATCCCGGTCTCCATTGTCAAAGTGTGCGTTGTACACCCACAATCCACCTTCCCACTACTTCTGTGTGGTAGAAGAATGCAACACTTCCTGGACAGCAAAGTGGACATAATATAAACATACATGATGCTTCCCTCATACCAAAATAATTTGGCACATTAATGTAATTTCTATGAGACAGCCATTTAGTCAGTGAGTCAGCAGAATATATGCAGTTAGAGTACTAGTTACTTTTTAGCATGTTTTCACCCGACCAACTGGAAAATAAAAAAAGTTCCAACAATGATAAAACTTCTGACCCTTTCCTTCCTTCTAATATGATGCTACTCCATAAGGAGGAGATAAAATATGCACAAATTCATTCACACTATTGAAAAAATAAGATGGACATAGGCTTTTGCGTGACTAAATTATTATCTCCTCCCTCTAGCACAAAAACTACAATTGATCAGAACGCATATGTGCCGTGTGTTTAGATTGTGTCCCTCACTGCTGCCTGATAAAATCATGGCACAGATTTTTCAGGACAAGCTCACCCTCTAGTGGCCATTGTTGATTTATTTCCATTACTAGGTTGGCTGGAGTTGTGCTTCTCCCATTTTTTTTTTTAGCTTGAGTCAAATGGTTTCCAGTAATAACAAACTCAAAATTGCATGTAATGGTTGTAAATGTGTAGCTGAGGTTTTGCAATTATTCTTATCTGGAACAAATTACCAACAATTTGTGATCACACCAGACCAGGAAAGAACAGCATCTGGGGGCTATTTACGGCTAAGTATACAAAATCAGACTGATACTACTACTGTAAAACATCTCTTGTCCAGTGGTAGTGATGGGACTACAACCTGACACTGACCTGTAGCCATCATTATTAGACCTGCACTCTAATTATGGTGATCCTGTTGTGACAGTGTGACATAATCACAGCCTGGATCTTTTTTGTTAGCCTCTCATCCTCATGTAACCAAATCTTGTTCACACCTGATATACAAAACCAGGTGGGAGACCACCTACATTTGCCAAAGCAGTTTTTCAAATCCATCCCACGGAAGACGAATTTCACGCTACCTTCCTGTTGATGATGTGTCCCCTCCTATGTTATTTAAACACCTTCTCCGCTAAAAAGATGCAGTCAGTCCTAAAAAATGGCCCTGGGTTGGGTGGCATTCCTTCTGTTTGCAGGTTGCAGTGTAGCACTGGAAAATACAGGCACCATGCAGGCCTTGATGGTGTCTCAAAGATGTACGGAGGATACCGACACTTTCCTTTGGGAAATTAACCAGGAGAGGCCAAAGGAATATGCTGTTCTCAGTAAGTGCTGCTGACTTTTGCAAGGTTTTTTTTCTGACTGTATCTTAAGTTGTGGAGTCACTTCAGCATTTGCAATGAGTATGGGATAGTGGATGTTCAGGCCCATTGAAACTAGAGAGGCCAGACTCGGGCCAGCTGTTATTTTAGATGGACTGCTTACGGTAACTTTGAAAATGAGGGCTCATTTTAGCCATGAAGTGCATCAGAAGCAAAGTTTGACAGGCCAAAAATGTATTAAACAGAGATTTCTAGTACTGTTCCACTGTGGTGTAATGTAACAAACCACATAGCAATTAGTAAACTTTCAGACAACAGACTAATACATATATAGTACTACAAACTACTACTTAAAATTCTAACTGTTGTTTAAATGGTCTGCTCTTGTTGGGTTTTTTTATTTAGTAAAGTACCCTGAGCTGCACTTTGTGTATGAAATGAAATATACAAATAAAGAATTATTATTATTATTATTATTATTATTATTATTATTACTCAGCACAGGTTAAAAACAAAACAGGAATAAATGAATTAGGGAACTAGCAGACCTTCTGCTCAGGCTCATTCCAGCCAATAAACATGTGAATGAACAACCTTCCTCACCTAAGATTGGAGAAGTTACATATTGTTTTCAGCCCTGAAAGCTTTATCCCTGTGAGTGTGTCTATGTAGATACAACACTGCAGTAACACTACAGCTTCTGTGTGCGAGCAAACAGGGTAATGCACATAGCATGATCTCCATTACAACTACACAAGTAGTAACAGGCAACCCTAGAGAGACATTTAACCATTAGAAACAGTTAGTAAAGACACAGTTAGAGATAGACAGACTGACTCACGATATTTAGGATGAAGATGAAGAAGAAGTAGTCCATATCTATGTCCTTGCACACTCCTCTCTAACTAGCATCAAGCTAACTAGTTTCACAAAAATTACTAACTCTTGTTTAATTTAAATAATAACTCTCTTTTGTTTGTTGTGAGGAGAGAATAGGACTGGCTTCAACTTTTATGTTTGAGTTTCTTTACCACAGACATGTCCAATCACAGTTTTAAAGTGGCGTCAGACTGACAGCCTCTGATCGTTTGATACTTAGTAATCAAAGTATGTCAACTTCATCTGTCTTCCCTTCCGGAAGGGTGCAATGCCGTTTTTGACCACACAGACTGGTTGTCATTGAAAAGCCGTTACAACCCAGCGGGGCGCTGTTTCACTCAGTTGAGGTCGACTACATGAAGAATGGAGACAACTAAACAAAATGTTTATTAGTTTGGGACAAAGAAAATTAGTTTTTATTATTATTATTTATAGTCTGGATGGATCCATAAAAGGAGTCCAAATTTCCCCTTTCCTCAGAAAAGTAAAAAATAAGATGTATTTCTTCAAAGCTCGATTTACTTGATTTGTGTTATTAAATCTTTACTTAAATATATGAAAAACTAATTTCAGTTTTTGAGATTTATTTTATCTTTACACAGTTTCATCTTTAACAATGTATGGAAAAGTTATGTGCAGTAACTGGCTCTTGATTAAAGTGCAATATCACCACTAAATCAGTATGTTAGATCCTAAAATAGAAAGCCATGCCCCACTTTTGGGCTTACACAGGAAACAGAAACAGTTTAAAATTGTTTTTTCAAGAGTTATTCTTGAATCAAGTAGGCAAATACTATACTTATTGTGCAATCATAATCATCAATATCACATTTTACATGTTTTATTATAAGAATTCAGTGTCTTTTTAAAATGTTTTAAATCCTTTTTTGTGTGTGTGTTGTGTGTCAGTGTATGATGCCTTTGGAAAGATGGGTAGCAATGTCGAAGGAGGTAATACCAACCAGCCTGGCTTGTTGCAGCAGTGTCGCTCTGCCCACAGTCCCACCTTCTCTGGACAGTACTGCCAGGTGTTCCTTAGGCAGGTAACAACAACAAAAAATTATTATAAATATAAAATGTCATCCTGACAGACAAAAACTTTATTTTGAAAAGAGTTTTTTTTTCCTACCGTAGGGATCAGTCCAGTACTTTGTGGGTATTTGTGTTCCTGACTCCTGCGTGGAAGAGGAAGTGCAGATGCTAGTTCTGTACGGTCAGTGATTTCAAAATCAGTTTTTACCAGACTCACTGCAGTGACCAGTCTGACACTTGTTTGGTTTTACAAAGTCTCACCTTTTTAACAGGGAGACTTCAGTTTGGTCAGATGTCCCTCATTCCTCCGTTACCTCCCATCCTGGTCAATCAGTCCACTCAGGAGATGATCATGACCCACTGTTTGTCCAACAACATTGCCCCTGATGCATCTGATGTCACCTGCCTGTCAGTATATGATTGGATGTTTTATCCTCTTTGTTGTCTTATCTGCATGTGTGCTTATAATTTTAAAGGTTCAGTGTGTGACAGTTAGGAGGATCTATTCTTAGCGTGTTAGTGTATAATCACCTAGAAATTAGGATCTTTGTGTTTTGGTTACCTGATCCACAGAGGGAGCAGGTCCTCTTCCATGGAGGCCACCATAATTTCTCCTACACCGATGTTTCTCAAACTTTATTTTATATTAATTTAGTTAATTAAAAAATTTCAGAGTTCCACATTTTGAGAACCAGTGTCTTACGCGCTTGGAAAGGGAGATTGAGATGAGGGTGTTGTCTGCAACTACACTGCTAAGGCCACTAAATCCTACACACTGGTCCTTTAAACAGAACTTTACATGCACCACACTTCAATTTGTCTTAACTCTGTCTTCACCTGACACTGATACCTTTTCTCCTGCAGGTTTGTGTGTTGTGTAATGGTAGCAATTCCTCTTGCGGCCACCCTGTATACAGCTATAATCAGGTGGCAACGCAACAGAGAGGTCAGTCCAACAGCAGAGTCTTCCTGTTTAAACACTGGCCTCAACCTTTATGGGACCCTGAAGACCAATGGCTCCTCCAGTAGTGAAATCAATAGCAGCACTTCTGAGGAAAATAGTAATAGTAAGTACAGTGTGTTTTTGTGTGAGCGCATGTTCTTTCCTGCAGTGGTCAAACTTTATTATAAATTGTGTTTATATTCAGATTTTGCTTTATTGAATTTAATCTTTCATAGACAGAACCAGCCACACTCCACCGTGTGTCCCCCGAAGCTGTGTGTACCGGTGCCTGCAGGTGTTCTCTCTACAGACTACCAGCCAGGGTGTCTTTAGCACCTCCTCATCAATCCCAGGAGGAGGGTACTCCTCCCTGAATGGCATCCGTGTTCTCAGCCTGTTATGGATAATATGTGGACACTCTGCACAGTTCCCTGTAATAAACAACCTGGGTATACAACAAGGCTCACTACCACTTTCTCATTCAGTCTGCAAGTCATTATATTACTTACACATTAATACACTGCTTTGTCTATTGAAGATAACTACAAGAACTGGAGGACAACAGTTGAAAGCAGCCCTCTGTATGTGCTTACCATCAGTGGCCCTGTTTTTCTGGCTGTGGACACCTTTTTACTGCTAGGGTGAGGCTGAAACAACATAAAGTTTGAAACAATGGCAGATTTACCAAAGTTTGTGCCTAAAAAACAATTTTATGGTGAGTATTAAGTTGCTAAATTTAGCAGTTACTCAAGTAGCTTTTGTGTTGTAGGGGTCTGCTTAGTGCAAGGTCTCTGCTGGGCTCCATCGATAGGGCTGAAGATAAACTGAGCCCCAGTTTGGTGGCTAACTACCTCTTCAAGAGGATTAAAAGGTACTGTTGATAAGTTCACCAAATTAAGTTATTATAATTCAATATAGTAGAAGCTCTTGATTATATTTGTGATCTAAAACTAATGTACATGCTTGCTTTGTCTGTCTTTTGCTCCAGGATTCAACCACTGCATCTGTTTATCATGTGTCTAACCATTGGCCTCATCTCTCTGGTCAAGTGGGGACCCTACTGGTTCCCATTCATAGATACATTAATGGATTGTAAGACTTACTGGTGGGCTAATTTACTGCTGATTAGCAATCTCCTCCCAGTCCATGAGATAGTAAGTTTAAGCAGTAATTCAGATTTACATGCTGTATAGTAGCTCTAGTTCTTTTTTGACATACTTCTATACTGACATTGCTTAAATGTGTTTTTCCTAATTTTTCCTCAGTGTATTCCTTGGACATGGTACCTGTCTCTGGACTTCCAGTGTTATGCCACCACTCCTCTGTTGGTCTATTTTTACAGACTGTATGTCGTCTCATTTGAGTATTTTTTTTTAAATGTTTAAATCTAAGTCCTCTACCACGAAAAAAAAAAAACATTTATTATTTAATCATGATGTCTTCTGTTTATCAGAAACCGAGGTGTGTTTGCAGTCGTTGCTGGAGGCCTTCTGCTGATGACCACAGTGACCAGTGGTGTTATAACTGCACTCCTGCAGCTTCCAGTCTTTCAGCCGTCCACACTGTAAGACTTGTGATGGTGATCAAGCACATATTCAATCATCTTAGGAACCAAATGCATGAAATGTAAGGTTGCTTAGATCATATTTTTTTAACTTTGTATAACTTTGTATACAGTGAAATCAAATATAAAAGCAAAACGGCAAACTAGCCATTCAAATTTAAGCATTCTCAATTTAATACTGATGCCTCTATATAATGTATAAACAAACAAGACCATCAGCAAGAAGATTGGCTATTTTTCTATAGATATTCTCAATGCCTGCCACTGATTCCCCCTGAAATTAGGTGGTGGCCATCAAAATCAATAAAAAATGATTTAAAATGAAAGTGTTATATATGTTTTTTTTTTTTGTGATTATTTTGCAGGACATCTGAGAATTATGTCTTGTATTACTATGTGAAACCCTACACAAGATATGGGCCATTTTTAATAGGGATCTTGACTGGAATATACTTGACAACAAAGAAAGATCAGTTGTTAAAGCAAAAGGTGAGAACATCTTTTAAACGTCTGCAATCACCACACATAACTTATTCTTTTAGTAGAAATATGAACACCTCTTGTGCTCTTTTGTGATGTTATCAAGCCAAACAGACTCAGATACAAATGACTAAGCTGCCATCCATCTTGCTTATTGTGTTTTGCTGGCGCTCCAGTGGCAGGCAGCACTTGGCTGGTTCTGCTGTCTGTCACTCATGGCTGTGTTGGTTGGATTGGCCTACATCCTCAGGGAGACCCCGGCCCATCTATCTGTGCCACATGCCCTCTACCAGGGTCTGCACAGACCGCTCTGGGCTCTGGCTGTGACCTGGATCATACTGGCCTGTGAGGAGGGTTACGGAGGTAAACCAAGAGCAGTGATGTTCTAGACTCCAAATACTCAAATACAAAAGTATTGTTGATCAATGATTATAACTACAGAAAATTAATACCAATGGCAATATGAGAAAGATATATTGTATAATTTGGGGGACCTTCACTTTTTCAGCAATATTTATGCTAATTTTTAACCCTCACTTACCTCTCTAAAACCAAATTAATGATTTGGTTAACAAATATGGGTACAAATCCAATAGTAGTGCGGTATGTCTGCACACTTCCTCTTAAGTGACATCTGAGTAAAAGCTAGATTTTTATACATAAAAGCAGATATATAAAAATCTATGCTACATTTTCTTTACTGTTTCTCCAGGTTTTATCCAGAGCCTCTTGTCATTGGATTTCTGGGTTCCTCTTTCCAACATTAGTTTTGCCTGTTATCTGACACATCCTGTCTTCATCATCCTCTACATCGGCTTGCAGGAGACCCCAATCCACTACACAGACATCAACTTCGTAAGTACATCAGACAGCACATTTCATCAAGCCTTATGCTGAGGCATTTCAGTCTTTTTTTAACTTAATGTATTTTATGTCACCCCTCCTCTTCAGATGTACCTGTTTCTTGGCCACCTGGTGCTCACGCTGGTGGTGAGCTATGTGTTTACAGTGCTGATTGAGAAACCCTACCTCCTCCTAAAATGGAGCAGTACATAGAGACTTATCCTTTTAACATCCCTGATCTTATATTCTGTTTGCTTGTGCCTTGTAAGCTATGTGAGTGCTCTTGTTCAATTCCGCATTGTTTATAAAAAAGAAAAAAAAAGGTTTTATAGTGATTGCTGAGTAGTTACTACTTTGACATTGTAACAAGCATTGTTCAATAGTTTACTGAGGATTGACATAGACAACATCCTGCAGATCACATAAAAATGAGTTAACATCAACAAGTCCATATTTTGTCAAACTAAAATTGGGTTTTGGGTTAATTGTTTCATAGATACAATATTATCATCTGCAAATAAAGACATTTTGCGTTGTCTTGGATATCATATGTCGATTACCACCATATCACTGCCTGTTTCAAAGGAACAATTACAAGGGCAAATAATTGTGGAACAGTAAATTGTGACACAAGGCCTTCCAGATTGTATCATTTTGTAATTTCTTATCTGCAGAGATGATCTTGACAAGATTTTGGAAAGACCAGATTTGCAATTATAGATGCTGTTCTTGAAGAAATCCACATAAAATGGTGGTGAAAATGTTGTGTGGCTAAGAGCTGACTCCCATGCCATCATCTATGTGACAAACTAGATGGTATAACAAATATATTCCCTAAACTTCTCAATTATTCTATGACAATATACAGGAAAGAAACAAGGTCTTCAAGTGTTCCTGCCGTGGAAGATTCATAGCTGATTTACAGTTCATTTAATCACATAGATCAATGAATATACGAGTTTAAAATGATTAATTTCTAGTCATATATAGAAATACAATATATGCCAACATCACTGGCGTCACATTGGTCTGGAAAAGTTTCCTAATTACTTTAAACCACCATCTTCCTTAATTAAATGTTGGGAGTTACCGAAGAGGACTAAGATAGCAAAAAGTTCTGCCCTCTTGTGGAGGACAAGACTAGTGTGACTGTTTCCTTGTGACCCAAAGTTCATTGTATTCCCTTGCCATCCTTCCCCTCCTATTAATGTTTCTGTTGTAAGACAGCACAAATAACTCACTGCACTTTCCATGGCAGTGAGTCAGAATTTGACACTGATTCAGCTGATGAGATCATAACAAACGTTTTCAGTTTCTTATGACGCAAAAACACCCAGCCACCTTGAGTTATGCAAGGCATGTGCTCTGTTGTGCATTTTATTAAGATGAGCAATGGTTGGGGAACAGCCTCAAAGGAATACCTTGATCCTTCTGCCACTGTTTATCTCTGCTGCTTACACAGAAACAAACTCCATATGTGGTGATTTTCACTGGAGTTATGTTGTAAAATCAGCATGATGGAACACTGTTACTGCAAATTGCTGTCAAGGGATTTAAAAGCTGTTGATAATATGTTTGTCTAAATTGTTCAAGCCTCCTCCGTGTATCATGTTTGACATCAGGTTGGAGATAAAAACAATATGATTTGTCCTGTAATCTTTGCCACCAGTTACTTTAATCCATTATTTCATTTATTTTGTTTATTTATTTCAACTATGTTCAATCTAACAGTAATACCAGATATGGTTTGCTATTTCTTTCATGGCACTTTGGTATAGTGAAGATATGTGTCATATCTGTCATTTGCCTGCTATGGCACTCATACCTTAATTGGTTCTGGAAAAATATCCTTTCGCTGACCCTCTCACGCAACCACACAAACAAAACACAGTTGTGACGCACACTTCTAACATGTGCAGCACCATTTTCCACCTGGTCCTGTCCAGGGAGTTTTGAGAAGGAGGCCAGACAGCAGGAAGAGGCAGACTGTGCAACAACATGGTGTAAAAATATATCTTGCTTTGGTAAAATGACACCCAAGAGTCCAAGGGGCCGCGTCCAATCCAAAACCCCACAACAACATGTTTGAGATTGTGTAACATGTCTGAGTCTGTTAGTGCCTTTTCAAATATTATAAACACTGTTTGAACTGCTGTTTTGGAGAAAGAAAAGATTTGGTATTCTTATACATGCATTTAACAGATAACATACTGTTGTACCCTCACTGCAGAATACATAAAGGGGTTATTTTTAAATTTTATGCTGTAAATCTCTGTATTGATTTCGTACTTACAACCGTCCACCTGCCAGCTCAACCCACCACTGTTAATGTGTTGCATCTGAGAAGCCACAGAATGATACACACACACACACACACACACACACACACACACACACACACCCTTTAATAGCTACATCATAACAAATCCTGCCCTATTAATGTCCTGTGACTCTAATCACTAATGTGATGTGACACATTATGTCTAAAGCTTTATTTTAGTAGTTTAACAAAATAATATTAATAAACCTGCCCCGAAATATACTTTTTTAAATAAAGAAAACACAGGAAGAATCAAAGGCAAACTAATACACAACAACCCCCCCACACATGCACATGCACCAGCAGTCCAATAATGTTCTCTCTGTTGCTGAGTAAATTTACAGGGCACCACATGAACAGGTGTGCGGACACAAGTGTTACATAAAGGCACAAAGAGAGTAAAAGCAAATTATATCATTAGAATGGTTTGTGTCTTCATCCCCCTCTGTTTATTGAACTTGTAAAGATAACCCCTTTGTTGTGTGTGTGTGTGTGTGTGTGGGGGGGGGGGGTCATTCATAAAACTCATCACTGATTTCTCATATACACACACACACACACACACACACACACACACACACACACACACACACACAACAATAGTGATAGTATAAACCTTCACAGTCATAAATAATATATTTTCTTTTCTTTATTCTTTAAAAAAATAACACTTGAGTCATGGCTGTTTTATTGGAGGGCCTCCGTTGTTAAACAACTATTTACAACGTGGTGATTTTAAAGCAGTAAAAGAATCTGCTTCCCTCACCTGTCACAGGAGAAATTATGTAACAGCCATAAATTACTCTTGGTAACAAAAATAAAACTGTCATTCACCTATTTACATCATTATGAAGCAACAACTAGTAAGCAGTTTTCAGAAAGATATACAGTGAAGTAAACAAGTCTGAAACAATGTTTAATACCATTAAAAGAGGACCTGAGGTTTTTCAAGTGTAAAACATTTCTTAAAAGCACAATAGGAAAAACTGCTGTGACATAAGGATGTGGATGCCTGGAGAAGGTCACTGCCTGGTTTGAGGAAACCCAAACAAAAGGAGGAAGATAAATAATTAAATTGCAATAAATAAAGTCAAAGGCAGTAATGTATAGGAGATTTGCAGCAGGAATAAGCCATTAAATATTGTCAAGCAGCAGGATAAGAGCATGGGATGAAGTAACAAGGACTATGAAAATGCTATGATCTTGAGAAAATTCCCCTTTAAGGATTACACAGACATCAAGAAGTACATTTTCATGCAAATATCTAATTACATGCAACAGACATGAGCTGTGTTTTAAAAATAAATGTGTAACAAGAGACATAATAAGTCAGACACTGTTTATATCCAACTCTGTAGACACCTGAACAACCAACTTTTACTTTCTTACCAAGAATTAGATGAGAATGCCACTCTTACATCTGTCCCTTCAATATAAGGCTGCAGCTAGTAGTTGGTTAGCTTAGCTTAGCATAGCATAAAGGCTGGAAACAGGTGGAAACAGCTAGTCTGGCTTTGTCCAAATTCCAAAGCACTAATGAACACATTATATTGGACTATTCCGTGACTTTCTGCAGTCTTGTAGTCATTATAGTCACACTTATGTGACTCCACTTCAAGCACATCCATTTTCCAAGTATCTATGGATATTGAACTTAATGTAAAATCATAAATGTTTCATGCTTTTGAGTACAAACAACAGACACCATGAATACAGAATCATCATCACTTTCCAACTAAATTGTTGGCCTATTCAAATTATTGGAAACTGACCTGCCATTTATGTCATTAAGGATTAGTTTGTGTTCACTGCTTATGAGATAAGTAATTTGGCTAAATGAGAGAAAAAAGTCACATTATATCACTGTCACGCTAGGCTGAGATAATTGACTACTAATAATTTTCCACAGAAGCCAAGAAAGGTCTGGTCTCATTATGTTGTTTTGGCCACTGACAACAGTGCATTGTTGCTTTACCAGAGTAATTAGAGGGTTGTTAGTGTTGTCAGACATGTGACCCTCAATGTCACGAGTGCAGTGTAAACACATTTATATCAGAAGGAAAACTTTCTTTGTTATACATTATGTAGTGTAAAAAGACTAAAATATATATTTTCTTGGTTACACTTATGAATATAAGTGGATAAGAATAAATTATTTTCACACAAAATATAATGTACAAGCTTACAAGCCCTCAGAGAATTCGTAGATCATTTCTTTGGAAAAATAAACCTTTTATCTAAAAGACTGGCTCATGTTCAAAAGAGTATCAGCAGTTTTGTTCTATTTTCTCTTTATTCTTTTAACTTCATGAAACAATTAGCCTTCTGGGCTGAGAAAGGAGTGAAATATATAATTGTTTTTCCCTCTGCAGGATATCAAATGGTGAAAAAACTCCTTATCTAAACCAAAATTATTACTCCAGTGCATGCTCGCCTAAGGTTTTTCAATATTTCTCTTCCTGGCAAGAGTCAAAAACTTTCCTCAATTACATATCAATGACAACCACAAATCAAAATCAGTCTGTAAAATAGGTCCATACTGAAAGAGTCTGTAATAAATATAGATTTCGAGTGTTATATGTTCAAGATCGGCACATGTCTACAATATCAGGTAACTGACTTTGTACTTAAGGGGGGCAACTGTTAAAAATAGACTCACACCCCGAGACTGCCAGCTCTGCCTGAGCTCATACTGAAGTCCTACATCATAGGTCTATATCTTCAACCACACGGCTATGAAAAGGGTACGTACTACATGCATGGCTGAAAATCCCCTTCAAAGGCTATGACATCTGTACTAATACCTCAAGTAATAATACTACTTTTATTATGTGTGATTCAGCTGTGAGCTAACTTGTTTGACATATGTTGGTGGTTTTTTCTTTGGGCATGGTAAATGTTGTCAATCACACTGCTTTGACGCTTACAACACTGATGATGGGTTGACATGCACACACACACATCACACACACACACACACACACACACATACACACACACACACACACACACACACACACACTGCTGTGCTGCTTGACACTCATGATTCACTCTGTAAAGCATCAGAATTAATTCCACATGATTTACACGTGTAATGAATTTTGACAAATACTTGTTGTGTTTTCACCCTGGTCATTTGCAGCAGTGAGTGTTGAGAAAGTATTACATTTTGAGGCAGATAGTGTTATTTTCAAAACAGTTTAGATGTACTGTATTTGGTATTTCAAGCGAGTCGTTCACATACAGAAGCTTTAAAGATGCAGCAGGCTCTTGGGGGTGTTGTGTGACTGAGAGTGTATCTATTTTGGCACAGAGAGTCAAGATGACATCAAATTACACTTTCTTGCTCTTAGTCACGCATGTGCTGACAGCTTTATTGTTTTTTAATGTCAGTACAGATCAATCCCTACCTAATGTGCTAATCAAGCATACCAACAAGATTGATTTCTGTTCAATTTAAAACATCAAAGTGTATGTCAGAGTATGTCACAACTCTGATATATGGACTAGTAGCATGCACGTGATCTAAATAAAAAATATGGACTCTCTGTACAAAATATGATTGAAATCAGAAGAGTAACGAATTAATTTAAGGTAACATAAATCTATCTTTAGCAGTGTTAAGATCATTTGGTACAGGGTGTTATAGACATTGTGATTATAACATTAGTTCAGTGACTATTAACTCTAAAATGAACATTTTTAATGTTTTTGCAGCCCGGACATTTTGTGAAATTAGTTTGTGTTCAAGGTGTTTGTCAATAGAGGTAAACTAGGATCTGTTTTCGTAGTAAACATTTGAGGCCTGAGGCTAGGTGTCCTTCACTGCAGCAGGAATGTGACAAATGCAGGTCATGGGTGAAGATGTACTGGTATTTTTCCAGTGAATGTGCCACCAGTTCCCCTCCTGCAATCTTGTATATCAGGGTGCATGTTTTGAAGCCTCCCCTTTCAACACTTCATATCAAGCCTCTGCAAATACCTCAGGTAGTGGGCAACACTGGCGATAGGATTTTAATATAGGTCAGGTGTATTGTCATTGTTGTGACCAACATTTTAGGATGGTAACTCCCCCAGTGTAACTCTATAATTTCTTAGAACTACACAAAAAAGCAACATTCAATGTCTATTAGCCTACCAAATTATAAAGTTTGGAATGCCATGAATATTGAAAGAATTAACATCGTTATATCTGAAATTTTACAGTATTTTCAACTTAAGGTAAATAAAAGAGCAATATTCATAATTTTGCAGCAAATACGCTGAAACTGGACTGGCCTAATGTAGCCCCTTTGAGCTAATGATTAATACCAGAGATTCTTAAGAATTCTCTTGATATTTAAATACTCGCAGCTCTAAGGGCTTCTGAATGCAATATTTTGGTGCGTCTTGTCTGGTACCGAGCTATTAAGGATTGGACAGCATTGTGCAAAAGTTCAATAACAGCTGTTAATGAATCGCACACTGTCTAGCTCCACATATAATTCCACATGAAAATACTGTATTTTGATCATGTAGACATGCTTTACTACCCCTCAGTTGTGCCAGACAATAGAATTTGGAGTCTAGTCTGCAGCTACAGACACCACACAGACACACCAGACACTTTTATCAGCTACACAATAATGACAACAAGAAGGTGATAAGGTATGTCAAGTGTCCTATAAAAGCTTCTAAAATAGATGCAACACGCTATTTAAATGGGCACCTTCTTAACTAAGATAAACAACTAGAGGGAGATAGTGTGCCTTTACTTCAAATACTTCCAATCGAGGAGGTAAACATACACATGAGCTTCAGATCTTTTCTTCCAGTTTTGCAATTTAACTGTGAAATATTTTAATTCTCTTGTGATGTCATGTTTTACTTTGCAGGTAAGGAATCTAAAAGCACAAGAATGCACTTGGACCCAGTGGAGGTAATGACACCTGAAAAGCCAGGCACAAATAATGTGTGCATAGAACTTTGTGCCATTCGTCCCAAAACTTGGCCTGAAGTTGCTGTTTGACAGCCAAATCCTCACTGCTGACAACCTCCTCAAGCAGCACCACTAGAAGTCCCCATGGATCTGCCACTCCTTTGCACGGTAGACCAAACACAGTCGCCACCAGCTCTTACAGACAGTCAAACAGGGAATCTAGAGTCTCTCTCTCTTCTGCACAGTCCCACAGAAAGCACGCTGTCTGCATACGAGACAGGAGCAGAGACTGTGTCAGAGCCCACTGACAAATCAACCAAGACTTTATCAAACGTTCCCGAATGCCTCTCTCAGGAGAAAACCACTGACTTAGACTGTCAGAAGCCTTCGTCATCCAGCTATAATATGTCAGAGTGTTTGTCACTTTGTTCAGAGCCTTCCTTAATGGATGAGGATTTCAGGGTTTTTAGCTATTTTGGCTCATCAGAACCTCTTTTACCTCACCTCTCTCATGACCTTATTTCCCCTCTTTCTGAATCTTTTTCAGAGTTTTACGTTAAACAAGAACCAGCCCTCTGTTTTTCTCCCATACAAGAAAATAGCACACCTCAACCTTTAATGGAGCCATCTTTCACTGAGCCCATCTATAGTCACAGCTTCAGTTCTAAAGACAGTCAAGCAACTTATCTATTAAGGTCGTTATCACATCAGTCAGATAGTTTAGAGAGTGATACAGCTATAGCACCTGTGTCAGACCTTTATATCTTTGAAAGTGACACACATGACTTCATACTTAGCCCTAATGTTGATCCAGAGGAGATTAAATGTCCTGAATACCGGCCATTATCACAAACAGGGGGAAAAAAGTCAGACCCTGACTGCGATTCACAGTCACTGATGTGTGATTCAGAAAATGTGGTGACACAATGTCATCACGGCTCCAGTGAGGAACGAGCTATGGTGGACTATGAGTCTGACGTGAGCCAACCCACAAGACTAAGACCACCTGCTGTGAATGCCTGCGAGGCAGGCTTGATGTCAGTAAATGATGCTAGACGAGGGAAAGCAGAGGTCACTGATTTAACCCCCCAACCACGGCGCAATGACAGCCCCATCGAACTATGGCTGGACGCATGCCAGTATCTGGCAGGTGAGGATATAGAAGATAGGGATGTTTCGGACAAGACAGGTCATTCTGTGATGCAAGGAGGGCTCACGGCCACCAGTGACTTGTCTTTTCCCACAGGAGAGACACAAGTGTCATGTTACAACCCTGATGGTAGTGAAGTGATTGGCTGGTCCGGTGATGACACTGGAGGTTGGGGGCCACCGGTTGAGAGGTGGTCGTCAGTGGACAGCTGGGCAAGCGCTCTCTCAGACTGGACTGGGATCATCGCGGCTCCACCAGAGGACTTCACAGCTGCCTTCACAGAGATAGGGGCTGAGATAGATGCTTTGACACAGGCACTAGCAGAGGTGAACACTCATATAGATACAGAGACATCTAAAGAAGGAGAGGATCAAGAGTCAGCAGTACAGGCACAATCACAGCCATCGCTCATGGGTATCCAGGATCAGCCTCTAAAGGCACAAAACATCCCAGAGAGCTCTGTCCTCTCTGGGCAGAGCCGTCTCTCGAGTGTTGAGTCCCTGTGTGACTCAACACCTTCCACACAAGGAGAAAAGGAGCCAGAAGAAATCCTCAGCAGCCAGGCTGAGCACTCTCTGCGCCCCACACAGCAGCACTCATCCATGGGATCATCCAGTGCTACGGTGGCCTCTCCTGGAGGATACGGTGTTGATGTGATCCCCCGATCTACTTCTTCCGCTGGTCTGGTCCATTCTCACTTTGGTGGATTTGTCGAGTCCTTTGAGGCAGACCATTTCTACAGCAATGAAGAAGATCAAATCATATTGAATATAGTCGAGGATACAGATTTGGAGGGACAAAACACATATGCAGAGCTAACAATCAAGGAGGTAAGATTAGAATATAGATCTATATTCAAAATTGTCTTTAAAATTGTATCTTGTACAATTCAGAAAAGTACGGCTGGAAAGTTTGTGCAAAAAGCATGAAATGTGAGTAGATATTTCACAACTAAACGTGGGGGAAGGTACATTTCTTTCCTATGTGTTAGTCCCACACATACAGAACCACACACACGTGCTTGCTCACACACTTCTAAACACACACCACCTTCTCTGAAGTGTGTGGCAGAGAGAGAGAGAGAGAGAGAGAGAGAGAGAGAGAGAGAGAGAGAGAGAGTAGTGGAAAGATTCACCCTTCACGAGAAAATAACAGCGATCACCTTCACATCAGTTGTGCTGGCCAACAGATAAACCTGTCATGCGATTTGGAAACATGACCAGAACGTTAAGAGACATTCCCGCTCCTGCCCTTGTCAGTGTTGTCATACCTACAGTATTGATAGCCAGTCAGGAGGTGCGTAGAGTAGTCCTGAGAGTGAAACCCACGCTTGCTTTGGATTGGAGCCATTCATTTTGCACCCAAGGACTGTCACCCATGCTCAATTCTGTATTATTGGATAAATCCTTTGGCTCCCATCTCAAAGACTGACAGCTGCGTGTGCTAAAGGAAACGAGAGTGCCTGAGAGGAAAACTTCAGATGGACAGAAATGGCATCTAATAATAGCTGAGAGTTCAATGATAATAGCATGCATCCGTGGCGTGTCAGGGTGAAGGGGTGAGAGGAGAGCACAGCTGAGGACTGAAACATGACCCTCCTTTACTCTATCTCTCTTTTCATATGCGCCCTTTAACACACCCCATTCCCACCGCATCTCCTTTAAAAACCCAGGATCAGGACGCCAACAGGTCCGTGGGTCCAGGAGACTGCTTTTGATTGGCTTAGGAGCACAAGGCATAGCTGGAACTCCTGTCTATAACAGTGACAGTGCAGGGTTCAGTTGCATGCAGGACATATGGACTGTGGGATTGGATGTAAGAGCATGGTGTTTCATAAACTTCTGCTTTGTGGCTCTATAGCACGGTATGTGTTGAACAGAAAAAATACAAAGATCTGAAATGGCATGTTTTTGTTACCTTCTAGCTGCAGAGTATGCCTGTAAAATAGTTACCTGTTTAATGATATTTATGCCAGCGGTTTAAAAATAATAATTAATAATACTACAAATATACTATTATATTTTAGTCTTGATGGAGTCTGACTTATACTTGGGCGTACAAGGCAAAATTCTTCTAATATTCTAATAAATATCTTGTCTCAGTTTCTTAAAATAATCTCACATTTTAATTAATATTTATCCAATTTCATTATCAGCCCTTTGCAGATGGACTGTGTGAAGTGACAGATGACCACAGTATCTCCCAGCCGGGCTGGGTGACCAATCAGGAAGCTAAAAGGAGCTGTGGGCCAGCTGGGGTTGATCGTGAAGGAAGAGAATCTTCAACAAATCTTTGTTTCCTCACCACTCACACTCTGACAAACTCACACTGCACAAAGTCTGACACTTTACGAGATCTTGTTGGAGCCTGTCAGTTGGAGCCACAGTGGGGAAGTCCCAAGTTTATTATGCCCTTAGCTCCTCTTAGCTCCTCCTTCATCCATCAGACAAACAACAGTTTGGAAGGAGATCAAACTTGTGCCAAAAGGTCTTTCAATAACAACAGGGACCTCAGTTGTGATCACATACAACCTTGCATTCCCTGGCCAACCTCAGATGGGATTACAGACAAACCATATTTGGAAGGTGTTGAAGAGTTGATTCATAAAAAGGAAAATACACTAGAGTCCTCTGATAAATCTTCACCAGACAGACAACTGGACTTAGATACTGCAGAGTGTTTCTTCACTACAAGAAAAACAGTAATTGAGGAGATTAATGATCTCAGTAGAGAACTGTCGAACTTGGCTGTTGTCCCTGCAGATCAATTAATCATCTCAGAGAAGAACCGCATTGCATTCATCACTTTAGATTTAAATGACCCATTTGTCTCCAGGGCTTCAAGTCCCATCGCCACAGTCGTACAATCTAAGTTTAATCAGAAAACAGCTGAAAGGATGCCTCACAAAACCCACAAGTCCACCTCAGAGGGCAAAACACGCTCCAAAAAGGACAAGTCAGCCGGTCATCACCATGGTGCACAAGCTTCCAAGAAACAGGAGAATTTATCTCACCATGTTTCAGGCCAGCAGGTCTGCAAACAGCAAGAAAATCACCCTCTTACTGGAGAAAATCATACCAGTGAGAACACTCCAGCTGGTCCTGAGGACAAGGAGGCTAAATTGGTGATTGAGACTGGTGTGGCGACGGAGAAGGCTCCAAGCAAGACACATGGCAAGAAGAAAAAGAAACATGCTCAGAATGCAACAGGAGTGAAAAGTGTAGGGGAGCCATTGGTTGAAGTGGAAAATGGAGCAAAACCAAAGACTGCAAAAGGAAGGATTGAGATGTTTGAGGCCACCCTGGGTGTTAAAGCTGGGAAAGCTCAAAAGGACAGTGATCAGTCACATAGTACTGAGAAAAAGTCCCAGCAACCAGAGGCTAAAGCTTCCCAGGGAGAACAAGTTCAGAACAAGACGGATCATAAAGACCACAAGCCAAAAAACTTCACCAGTCCTCTGAACGATGATATTATTAAAAGACGACGCCTGTCAGAGCATAAGTTTGGGAAGATTGTCAGTGTTTTGGAGTCTAAAATACCCAAGCCAGAAGTCTCTATCCAGACAAAGGGAGAGGAGCCCAAGGTAGATGCCGGGGAAACTCGGAAGAAGGCATACAGTGAAGTAGTCAAACAGAAAATCCCACCTAAGGAAGGTAAGGAATGTACATTACACCATTTTTCCACTAAGCACTCTTCTGTGACACATTATCAACACAAGAGCAGATATCCAACTGTTCTCCTGCATTATGATATATAAACATACATTATTCACCTCATAATAAAAGCATATGATCACGTCTGCAGAGCCAAAGGTGTTGAAGCCTATCCAAGCAGTGGCAGTGAGTGGGGACCCCCAGAGTCTGTGCCTGTGGTGTCAGTTTGCGGCTGTGTTCTCCCACCACACTGTCACCTGGGGCCGAGACGGCACTGTCCTTTCTGAGATCAAGAGAAGGTATTTTATTTTATTACATGTTTTTACAATGTATCTTCTTCAATTTTACCCTCATCTTTACTCAATACTTTCACATAACTCTACAATAGTACCTAGTACTAGTCTTCTATAGTACTTACCAGTGACTACCACATACTCCATAACCCTATTATCTTTGGCAACTATATGCGCCTTTAGTCTAAGTGATGTGCAGCAGTGAACCTTTTCTGTCTGATATACCCCTACAGCCCCTTACAGATGAACTCAAATCCTTCATTGATACCACCAGTCGTATTTCAAATAGATTAAATAATGGATGTGTATATTGTTACAATGATTTCATACAAATAAACTGTGTATTTTTAGGCCAGTTTGGTCAAGTAACTGGCCTAAAACTACTTTCAGCTGTTGTAACTTTTAGCTACGTATTTCAAATATTACTTAACGGTTTCAACCATTTATCCATAGGCCTACTTTTGGCTAATTCAACTGTTTATCCACTACTTTTAGCTAACTATCCAACTGTTTAGCCATTATCTTTTGCATTTTGTGACACTGTCCCTCTCTCTGAAGTGCAGGGGACGAGAGCAGAGTGTCACTGAACATCTCCAACGCTTCTCACAAAGACTTGGGCAAGTACGAGTGTCGGCTCACCAGTTTACACGGATCAGTCACCCTGGACTACCTGCTCACATATGAAGGTATAATACATGACTTAACATTAACAACTATCTTGAACATGGACAAGAAAAATGTAAGATATAACTATGTATCCATATGTAACAGAATTTACTCAAAAACTGCATTTATTGACCTATTTTACAGTGCTCGGTGAAATTGTGATCCCTCCATCTCTGAAGGCCGTATCATGTGAGTTGTGTTTGTAACTTTACATCACACAGTTTTTGTTTTTTGGGGGGGATTTTGACTGATAACAGAGGACACTTTCTTTTTTCTAGCTGCCCCTGTAGAGATGGGGAGTGAAGAGGAGGATGTCAAGTGTTCCAGGCTGATGTTCAAAGAGGATTTCCTATCTGACCAATACTTTGGAGAGAACCAACCTGTCAGCATCCTCACTGAAAAGGTCCACTTTGGGGAGGGGATGCACCGGCGGGCTTTCCGGACCAAGCTGCATGTGGGTCAGATACCCCTGTTACTACCTGGACACTCTTGTGTGCTCAAAGTACACAATGCTATCAGCTACGGGACCAAGAACAACGACGAGCTTGTTCAGAAGAACTTTACCTTGGCTGTAGAGGTGAGAACGTCACAGGACTCTGATGTTAGGCCTGCAGTCCTTCATAGCTCAAAGTATTATTGGATTATGTTCATTACAGTCCTCTTTGGGTACCACATTACATACACACAAAACACTTTTTCTACCACAGATTTTGTATTAAATGTAATAAATAATTCAAATATAATTGTATACATTGTATAATTGTATACAATACAATATTGTTAGCACATTAACCTAATGAACAGGACTATGTTTTTTTCTGACATGCAAGATTCAAAATTCAAATTGATTGCATTTGCAGTTGAATAAAATTGCATGCATGGCTCAAAAGGTGCCACTAAAATGCCTTTTATTAATTTGCATAGAAAGTATCAGCATTTGTGCCCCAAAATGTACATACTGTAGAATGTAAAATGTGACACTTGGGGCCATCTAGTTTTGTGTTAATATGTCACTCATTCAGTTCTGAGTTAAAATACCTTTTACAAAAACACAGCAAACACAATCTTTTTTTAAAGCTTTTATGAGATGTCTTTTATCACTATCTTTCCATCATTGTGTGCAGAGATCTTCTAAAACTTAAAGTATTGTAATTGACTTCTTACTCTGTAGGAGTGCCAGGTGCAGAACACAGCAAGAGAGTACATCAAGGCATACACCACTGCGGCCCAGTCTGTTGAAGCCTTCGGAGAGATCCCAGAGTGAGTGAGACATACAAAAAACTGTAAACTTAATGCCCAACATAACTCTGCAGCACATCTGCCTTCATAGAATAATAAATAAATAAAAGCTCATAACTTAAATAATTGTATTCCTTGCGTAGGATCATTCCCATCTACCTGGTTCACCGTCCATCCAATGACATCCCATATGCCACACTGGAGGAGGAGCTGATCGGTGACTTTGTCAAGTATTCAGTCAAGGATGGCAAAGAAATCAACCTGATGAGACGTGACTCGGAGGCAGGACAGAAATGTTGTGCTTTCCAGCACTGGGTCTACGATAAGACTGAGGGAAACCTTCTGGTTACTGACATGCAAGGTTGGAAGAACATGGAATTAGATGTTTTGATATGTGTGCAAATATAAATTTTTTATCTGAACTTAAATTACAATTTAGAGCACTAAATATATATTTTTTTGGTTTTCAGGAGTGGGAATGAGGCTTACTGATGTGGGAATAGCCACCTGCAAGAAAGGGTGAGTGTTTACACCAATAATAGATGCAAATTATAGATACATGCAAGCTGATGTATTCATTTTTTTTCCTTCTTTCTAGATATAAAGGCTTCAAAGGAAACTGTGCCACCTCCTTCATTGACCAGTTCAAAGCCTTGCACCAGTGCAACAAATACTGTGAGCTCCTGGGCCTCAAATCCCTGCAGCCCAAAGCTAAAAAGCCTGCATCTGCTCCGAAACCCAAACCTCAACCCCCTGCTGCACCCAAGAAAAAGACATTTGGGCCAACAGTGAAGGGAAAGTCATAACAGGAGGAGAATCTTGGACTATGGCTTTCATTTTTATTGAAATGGTGAGGTTTTTGGTGATTCGCTTCACTCATGTTGGACCTCATCATGCAGAGTTTGGGCCTGTCAAAGGGGAATCAGAAAGGTGTTCTGGGTTCTGGACTGTGGCAGGCTAGATCATGGAGGACACCTATCGTTACGCAGTCAGTTTTTGCTTCATCTCATGTTGAACATTTGAGAGATTTATTTATTTTAATAAGAAGATTTAACCAGAGATGGTTTCTGTATAACTATGAGTATTTCTAATCTGAGGAAGGAAACTTTATTTAGTTTTAGAAAAACTGTGACAAATTTAAAAACACTTGAAAATGATGATAAGAATGACGAATTTGTCGACAGTGTTGAACTGTGATGTCTTAGAGATTGCTTTTATTGATGAGGTGCAATGATTTTCTTTACAGATCAATGCAGAGTTTTTCTTGTTTTTCTACTTATGTGATGTTTTCAAACTATTAGTTCATTAAATTAATGAACTTGTTAATTAATTGATTAAAGGAAATGTCTTTAAAGTAGGTTGTACGATAAAATAGACACAGTAGAGGAAGTATATTGTTTAAGGTTCAGTTACACTGTATGAGTGGGTAATATGATTTATTTGCAAGGTGACAGAGGTATTTGATGGGCGTATATTCAATTTAATCTTACATTACTATAATGTTTGTTCATGTAGTAAAGCTACTGATTTAAGATGTGCTCATATTTATATCCCAGAAACAACACAAAGTTATTTTGTACACATTAAGCTAAGTAAGCTAATGCCTTTGAATGTATTCACTGAAAAATGTGAAAATGTATAGATTTTTCATTTTATTATGAGGGGCAATTCTGCTTGTTAGATTTATTTTTGAATATCTGACATCATTTTAAGGATCTATACTGCGCTGGTCTAGCTCAAACTAAGTGAAAGACATGTAAAACTAAACCCAGTCATGGCACCAGACTAACCTGAGAGAAAAATCTAATTACATACATAGCCCATAGGATCAATTCAATTGCAGTCTCACACGGTCTCTACATATAATAACCCTCTCTGTCCTGCTCTCACTGTTGCTGTTTAAATCCCTGACCCACATTTCTGACATGGCTCTCAGGTTGCGGCTATAGCCAGTGTGTATGCAAATAGTAGATCTTTGTTATTAAAGAGATGTTGCTGGTTGGAGACGGTTTCTGATTTCTTTTTCATTAAGTTAAATCAACTCACAATTAATGTAATGTGACCTCTGACCTACAGGTTTGAGAGACGGGGTGGTATTGCACCATGATTGTGACACTGTCTGTGTAAATATGCAAATATCTGTTTTTCTTCGTCCATAGGACTGGCGTTGAAGGTATTTATAAAATGTGAACATTATGTCTTTTTAGTTCTGAGGAATTGCTAATGCGCACTCTTTAGCAAGAGACAAAAACAAACACTGTTTATTCATGTTATTTGCATGGATGAAGACAATTGTGCAAAACATATAACACTAGTGCCTGACCTGCTTACATGTTGGCAAAAAGTTGGCAGCATGTCAATATCTATATTTACAGGTTAAGGTCTCCAGCAGCAAATTAGCGCCTCAAACGCAAAAGTAAGTGGGTCACACTCTGAGGCTCAAGATCATGTACGACATATCAACACACTGCAGATCTATTTTCATCTCTGCCCCTCCTGCGTGGTGTAATGTGTTCCTATACTATAGGCACTAGCAGCAGATGAGGACATTTTTTTCAGGCTTTATGAATCAGGAAACTATTAGAAACTATTAGAAAGAAGCCACAAAACCAACAAATGACAAAAGAAAAACAAAACCCAACCAGGCAAACCAGGAAATTGAGGAATATATTGAGGTCCTTTTCACACTGTAGCTATTTAGTGTGATAATGGCGTTTGATACAGAGGACACAAACACCATTGTCACACTCCACAGCTCTGGAGGACAGCATTTACTGTAGATGTTGCAGACGGAGAGGTTGTTAATACATACTGGTGGACGGACAACCTGGTGAAATAAGGAAAAAAGTAGTTTGGTGACGTGTTGAATCAATAAAGAGCAATGGATAGAACAGAAAGTAGAGAAAATCAAACATAATGTAGTACACATGATGTTGGTTTGTGGTGTTTTCACAATGATTTATGATTTTTTCCCTTTCAATATGCTGGAATACAACCCAAATGAAAAACAGAAAATAGGGTAAATAATGCTGTGTAAATACACAAAGTGTTATCCAACTGACCAAAGTCCGCTCACGTCTTTTTCTACTGATTGTGGGGATGCCTGCAGCTGTGTGTGCTTGTGTGTGTGAATAAGAGAGTGTGTGAGTGAGTAACAAAGTAAAATAACCTATTTTTTTTCTAAATTACAACCACATATTTTTCTAAAATGTTATTGAGAAATAGAGATGGTTCAGACTGTGTGTTACACTAGATTCAACACATCTTTGTTGTTTTTGCTTTTAACAATATTACATAATGTTTCTGAGCTGAAATTGGCCCCAAGTGTTTGTTTCTAACTGTTAAATTTGATCAAATTTCATCAGTTATCAACTTTACAGACAAACCTGTGAGTTAAAAACATTACTTAAAGATTCCAACCTATTGCAGGAAAACCAACTCACCTCAAGTTTCTAAAGTGGATCCTCTCTCTAGATTCATTCATACTCAGGGGTCACTCTCCTGCTCCCGATTCTTCCAGCTACTCTCTTTTCTCTTCTCGTTCCCTCTCACACCGGGGTATCTTTGTCTCAGAGTCTTTCCAAACAGTTAAAAGTCCAGTGGTGCCTTCAGAGCTGCAGGTTCATGTGGTGATATGTGGTGCATTTGGGTTTGATGCTGTCCCGTCCAAGTCTTTATGTAGACAGAGCAGGGTTTGGACAAACAGCCAGTTCCACATTAGTGATAAGCTACAGGGGAAGTATTGATCGACCCTGACCAGAGGTATAGGGTGAGGGGTGGAGGAGGGGGAGACCAAAAAAAAGAAATAACTGCCCCGGTGAGGCAACAGGGTCTTAATACCAAGGTTTCACTGAAAGACACCATGGGCCAAATGTAATAGACTGACAGGTGATGGTTCCTAAAAGAAGAAGGAACTAATTCATGTAATAAGAGCTGGAGTTTGGTGCAGATGAGAGGCCAAAAAGTCAGCAAGGTAACACAACCAGCAGGCACAAATCAGGCACTCATAAAGTAAAAGCAAGTCAGTAACGCCGTTGAGTCAACATGCATTTTTGTTATGCGTTTCCTGTATTATCTTAATGCAAAGACTTATTTCATTTAGATTCACTCCAAATTCTAAGTAGTTAATAGTTAATGGATAGAAAATAGTTACACTATAAGTATGGATATGCCATGACTCCAAGGTTCAGTTTCATAATAACACCTGTCACCTAGAGCAGATTATGAAATAAGCACTGGTTACATTGGGCCGTTGCTGTCCTGGGGTCAGGCCTACGCTCTTCTATCATCAGCAGGGGATACTTCATTTCACATGTCTTCAACAAAGCAATGTTTCAATTTTACTAAATGATACAATAACTTTAATGCCTTGTCTCACCTTGTTTTATTTAATTTAAATTATATCAGTCAGATTTTGTTGTCTATGTATATATATGTACATGGCAATCCTGAAATACGCCTCCAAAAATAACAAATCCAAATTTAACCACTGGAAATAGCATCTCTTTAACTGGAGGTCTGATATGTGTCACTGTTCAGTTTTCAACCTCTGAAGCCCGAATATTAAATCAGTGATTCGCAACCAGGGGTGGGGGAGAGCGGGGAGTGTTGTAACACTGGGATAGCTGTAACACAGTCAGTTTGACATTGGCTTTTGACAACTTTAATTTCATTTAGTGAATATATTTTGTGTAACTGTACATATAGATAATATAGTCTAGTGTCTGACCTCACACTACGATAAATCTTATTCTGATTGTACCTCACGACACTAAATTACAATTTTTGTGTTTCAAAGTAAGAATTCAGAATGTTGATTTGGCTCTTTTTATTAAGTGCTTTGCTCATTGAAACTGTTGATGAAAACTGAGCCAAAGCAATCATAAAATATCATAATAATACTGGTGCGTTTAATTTCTTTCATATAAAATATGAATGTTATGAATGAATACTCTTTAAAATCAAATATTTTACACGTTTGTCCACATGACACTTCACAGAGGAGTTAAATTAACAATAATTACTAAAATATGTAATGTTTTCAATATATTATCATCCACTGTTGGTTCAGGTTATTACTTTAACTTGCCATCAGGGTTTCTTTAAGGTCAAAGCTGTGACATAACACAGGAACAGAAGCCTGTTAGAAACTCACAGACCAAAACTATCTTATCTTTAACAGAAAACTAAAGAAAAGTGTTTGTGCTTTCTTATGGTTATTAGGAGTTATGTTAAGATGTATTCTCATTTGCACTTGGTGACATTTTTTTCAAGCAGATGGAATGCTTTAGAAGTTGGCTCTTGGTTTGTTTGTGACCAGATCGAGGGTAGAAGGACTTGATAAAATGTCCCCGGACTGGCAGGGTGGCTTTTATTTGCTCGTCCTTGGAGCTGATAACTCCTAGATTGTGATTGTGTGAATGAACTGAGGTCCCTTCACCACACCACGTGCGCACAGAAAAGAGAGACAGGGACATTTTGAAGTCTCACTAATGTCTCAAGACAGGTGAAAAAGTGATTTTATCACAAGTATCTGGATATCAGGAAACTGTTCCAAGGTTGGCTGGATTTCAAAAATCTATTTATAATGTGGATGAACTAACATAATTTCCCTCAGCAGCAGACTTTCTGAAGCAGTATTTTAATATTTCAGCTCCCTGTGAAGCTTATATTATATATTTGAAATACTATTGGGTAGGTTTGTCTAGAATGCATCCTAACTTACAAGATGTTCACGTATTAGATTGAAATAAAAGTTTTAGCAAGTAGTGACTATGGCGGTCAATTAAATGATAAAAAAACGATATTTTACTCAATAGTAGTAGTAACTGATATATAGATGTACCTATGTAAAGAAAAACTAGACTTGAGAAATAAACAAAAATTTACTGAAACAATATAGTGCACTCACAAAAACAAAAATAAGAATATACAGTAAATGTCTCAGTTTGATCAAATTTGTCAACACAAGCATGAGGAGGCACTGGTGCTTATGTTTATTGAAAGTGGGATGTCTACATGACTGTGAGTCAATGTGTTTGTATTGTGATACCTATTCTGACAAATACCACACATATTATTATAAAAGAACACAGTGAAACTGAAAAAAATATTTTCAAAACAATGAAAACTAAACTAAAATGAGCTGGAAACTAAATAAAAACTACAGAACTGCAATAAGAACTTAATAGATTCAGTGAAGAGGGATTTTAAATTTGGGATTTGTAAAACTTAATGTTTATGTGGGACTGTTGGACAGTAAGTCTATATATCTATGATATATTTTTATGGCTCTTGTAACTGTCTCTACCTCATTAGTATTCATACTCACATTCACTCAAACAACACACTGAGAAGTTTCATTTTTATTTGACTGAAGTTAAATGAACCACAAAGAGTTGCAGAGAGGTGGAATCTTTTAACAAAAGTGATATTTCCCATCATTCATTAAAAAAAGAAAACCCTCTAAAAAAGGACTAATCGTTACTGAGTTACTTTAAGGAGTGGGGTCACAGGGGGGAGGAAACACAAGGGAAGGAAAATGTAGAGAAAAGAAGAGAGGAAATAGAGAATACTAAAGGATGTGAAGTCTCTGCTTCACTTCTGTCAACTTTTTCTACCTTAGCAGCAGCCCAGATTTACAGACTATTTATATTGCACCAGGTACGTGCTCCGAATGGAAAAAAAAAAAAAAAAAAAGGATCACATTCAAGTTAATGACAAAAGACATACAACAGGTGACATGACCTCAGAGTGATCTATAAAGTGCCCTTTAGGTTCAATGGTGTTAGAAAAAGGAGAGAGAAACAAAAACATAAAAAAGAAACAAAAAAAAATTTCTTTGTAAGAAACGTGCTGCTTTATATTCAGTGGCAATCACAGCTTTTCTCTCAAACATCCGCGCACGCACACGGCTTCATTTTAGTGTTGTTGATCAGTAATACTTCTGTTAAATGTAGTTCATACATATATTTATATATCATGAAAGAACTTAAAATGTTTTTTTTTTTCAAGAACAATTTACAGCATTATGAACAGCAACAGGCATGAGAATATTAATATAATCATGATGCAAACATCTCAAAGAAACTATTACCAGTTTTTAGTTTTCCCTTCTCGACCTCGAGAGCAATTACACGTCCAAATTACTACCATGTAGTCAAAGCAAACACAAGATACAGTTTCATGCTGCTTTCATAGCACTACAATAAAAACCATTTTATTCAACACATTTGCTATCACCATAACAAATGATATGGATTACTTATTTCCCAGACTAGCCAGATTTACACTTCACACACCATGTCATATAGAATTGTCAAAATAGTAAACAACATTGTTCATCAGTACAAATACATTGAGAGTATTTTCCTGCAAGAATTATAACAATGATTTAAAAAAAAACAAAACAAAAAAGAAATCTGTTCCAGGATGACAAAAACTATAAAAATCATCTTTGGGGCTTTATTTCATCCCCCATTCTTGAATCCTTACCAGTGGCTTTAAAGTAAAAGAAAAACATTATTCTACAAAAGGCTGCAGTGGCGATTTCTGATCACACAACATATAGACAAGGCTCTACGGAGGGGTGTGGCCGATTTCCTGAAATGTGATTGGCTAGCATTCCTAAGGTAATCCGGTGTTGGTCTAAGGATTTGAGAGAGTTGTGATCATAGTGCCATTGCAGTTTCTTAGAGAAATAGTGCATGTAAGAGCCAGATTAAGGCCATGCTAAGACCCTCCCATTGAAAGGTGCTTGAATACTGTGCTATAGTGTACATAAAGGAGCTATTGAAATGCATTAGTGTTTTCCAGCACTGTAGATTTTCACAGGACGAGGGTAGAGGGGAAAGAAACGGCAGATCAGGGGGGCCAGCTCTCGTCATGTATCGCTCATGCCTGTGGATAATAGATTTCAGCATTCAAGGGTGCGACTCTCTCGTTCTTTCCCCAGCACCTTTAAAGAAGTGGCCTACCCGCACTGACAAGATATAAAGATGTAGGCATATTGGCTCGACAAATCGCTGTACAGCCTCGAACCACCGTGCTGTGGAGGTGGTTCACAGTCAGGCATTACAGGACAACATGCTCGCACAGAACTGCTACAGCAGCTGGTTTGACATCCCTGTGGCTTTCTTGTTTAGTTTGTTTTTATTGTTGGTTGGTTGAATGCAGTCAGACGCCGCCATTTAGTCAACCCCCTCGAAGCCCTGCGCGTTCTCCACAGCCATGAGGAGTTTCTCTCTCAGGTCCTCAAATGATTCGTAAGTGGGCAGATCCAAGCGGTTGAAACTGGGAAGAAAAAACATTGAAATTATACTTAAATTGGTATTTAATTGGTAGCCACTGAGTATTTTGTTGGTTAATTGGCCGATTTGGTTTGGTCCAGACTGAAATATCTCAGCTATTGGAAGGATTGCAATGATATTCTGTGCAGACATTTGTGTTCCCCAGAGGATGAATCACATTGACTCTTGGTGGCTTTAAGTGAACTCTAATATTAAATGTTATTCTCTTAAACTTGTTACAGACATTTATGTTTACTGCTCCTCTAGCGCCTCCAGCAGGGCAGACTTTTAACTTGTTCAATACTTTGGTTTATGAGCAAATACCAGCAAACAATTGACATTCCCATCAGCCTAATTGTTAGCATGCTACCATGTTAAACTAAGATTGTGAAACATTACACATGCTTAGCATTAGCATACTGGCATTGTCATTATGAGCACACTGATGTTAGCCTGTAG